GGAGAAGGTTCCCACCACCGAAAGAAGCCACAATAAGCGATTCTCAGCAAGATAGACTTCGAGACAACACCGGATGAGCCACCAAAACAGAAAGCTTGTCATTGCAAGGGGACTATCACATGCTGCTCTGGATTCTGACATCATCATTTGAAGTTGCTTATTTCTCTTTTCATCTTTACGATAATCCATCAAAATCAGAGCTTATGATTCTTAATACTTAGAGCGTGAATACAATTCATGAGGAACAATGTCTTCGATGGCAGGAAACACACAACAGCCCACCCCCTTTTCCCCGGAAGCATCGCAAACATCAGACCGCTCCTTCGCAAATACGCATCATGACCCCCAACTCTTCCAACCTCATCATTTCTTCTTCTACGGCAGCCTCACCGACCCTTCCTTCCTAGCGAAGGTGCTCAAAAGTCAGGATATGCCGGCCCTCCGTCCAGCGACGATAATGGAGCACGGTATGAGAATGTGGGGTGACTTTCCCGCGCTGTTGGATGGACGTCCCGAGAAACCAATTCACGGTGTCAGCTACAAGGTGCGTTCGCAGGCGGAGGAGAACCGGCTGGCGGAATATGAGACGGATATGTATCGGAAAAAGGGGTGCCTCATTGAGTTTAGGGATGGGTCAAAGGTCCCTGGGGTGACGTTTGTGTGGAATGCCGATCCGGGGTTGCTGAAAGACGAGGGGTTTGATATGGAAGACTGGTTGTTGGAGCAGAAAGAGAGTCGCGGTGAGGGTGAGATCGGAACGTAATGAATTGGGCGTAGGGATGCTCCTTTGTGTGGTCTTTCGGCTTTGACTGACGTACGACCGTCTTTTAGCGTGCCATGTCAATGTTGTATCAAATCGGCTTTTGACGGAATGGCAGGTCGAAGCTCCTTTTTGTATGGGCGTTGCCTCCCACAGGCGTAGCCTGCTCGGCCACATCATTCGTTTCATTCTTATTGATGGTACTCTCGCCGCGTTGATGGGTTTCGCCTCCCTCGTGCCGACTCTGGTGTAGTCTGTGCTTTGCACCGTCCACCTTCTCTTGCAATGCGCGCACCTTTCGCTTCGCTCGGGTGTAGCCTTCTATACCTGCCAAGACAGCATATGACTTGCTAATTGAGACGTGTGACATGTCGACCCCTTGGTCTTGCAGCGAATGGATGAAGGCCCGGAAGTTAGCCGCGGGGGGGCGATAATGGCCACTGTTGATGTCAGATAGAGGTACGGAAATATGACGGAAGTACACACCTCAGAGGTGCTAAACTACGTAGCTGTCCATTTCTTATCTTGATCAACCCAGCGGCTGCAATGCGAGCACCTCGAAGAAATGAAGAGTGCTGAAAGGCCCCGGACTCTTTGATGCCAACAAATAGCCGGAATGTAGTATCAGCAACCTGCTTTTGTTTAGCTGCCACGGCACAAACTATTGAGAAGGGCGAAGCGAGAAACAACAAACTTACAAAGATCCACATATCCTCCTTCTTCGACGATTTCCCCTTCAGGGTCTTGAGGATCGTCCCGGGACTGACATGCACCAACTTCTGTCCCACCTTTGTCGCCTGATAATCATCCTTCTCTTTCTGCCCCAAAATATCCTTATTATCACTAAGCGAGCTATACCCCGACGATGACTCCGACGAGTCAGCTAACGAATCACTCGAAAACGAAACGACCGGACTTCCAGCGTCCGTATTCCCCCTAAACCTCGGCGCGTCCTCCTCGACAGGCACCACCCCCCTCAGACTATCTTTGAACCGGGCATTATCAGTCCAGATAAGCTCCCCATTCTTCGCCCATCGAAACTTCCCCGCTTCATCCACTTCAACCAGATAATTCATCCGTTCCTCTCGCGACAAATACCTCACCTGCTGCCTCTCCAACTTCTCTCTCGGACACTGCGGCAGGTCCAACTCACTCCCCTCCCCGTAGTCCAACCAATAAAAGAAGTTTTGATTCGTAGGCGAATTCTTCCAATATATATGATAGACCCGCAAATTACTCCCATGTCGGTGTTTCAAGTCCACCATTTCCAGAAAGTATTGCAAATCCATCATCTTAGCCGTAGTGCCTGCTGGAAGATCATGATGGAGAATAGTGGGCGAAGAATCTGTCACCGAACCATTATCGCCCGTATGGCTACTAGTCGTAGCTGTCTTCGACTCGAGATCATCGTCATCGTCGCCTCCAGCGCGCTTCGCTACACTGACAGCGCGGAGCCAATTACGGCGTGCGTTCGCGGTACTATCAAGGTCTTGTGCTGGCGCAGATGGGCGGTGGAGCTGTCGCCATTCCGCTTCTTTCACGGCCTGGTCGAATGAGAACAAGATGTTTAGCAGGAATCCTAATTGAGCGTGGGAATTCGTGAGAAAGCCATACATCTTTCCATCGGGATGTCGACGCAGAGAGATCTAGTCCGCGAAGTGCCCGCCGTGTGCGATAGCCACGATATGTCCTCTATAATCCATAATTTTTGTTAAGAGTCTTGCAGGATACAGCGAGAGTAGAGGCCGACCTGGATGGTTTGCGCCGCCCTCGCTCGCTTCTTGGTGACGTCATCGCCAGGGTCACGGCGGGCAGCAGCAGCGGTCGCGGGGTCCACAGGCCCGCTGCTGCTGGGTTCCACGGCTTGTTGCGCTAGGGGAGATGCCATGGATTGAATGATGGAAGTAGTGGATTCTGTCTAGAGGAGATGCTCTGGAGCCTGTGGTAAGTCAAAGTGAGGAACAGGAGCAGAAGGAGCAGATTGATGACGGAAAGAAAAGATTGACGGTCGAAAAGTCGAGCCAAGCCTGGGCGTTGGCGGGGCACTGTAGATCCTGCGCCGGTAGATGGTGTCAAATGAAGATACTCTCTCCCCTTACAGGTATGAGTTAGTGATCAAGATCAAGGACTTGTATGAATGAACTCCTCAACATGTGTTATTTTTGTTTTGTGATGAGTAATAGTCTGTAGTTACTGCCTGTTAACTTCAGTACTCGACGCGTAATATATACTGGTGGTAGTGATGCCAAATAGGACTAGTCGTATTATCACATTTGCTGATAACAAGTACATCAGCAATATCAACCTGGGCGAATCAGTGAAGATCATCCGTATTCACATCAAGAGTGACCCACTATTCAGCCCAGCCATCTAAAAATATCTAAACAGTCACCCGCCGGGCTCTAAGATACTCATAATCCGGCATCGCATCATGAACTGCCTTCTCTATCAACTGCGCCATCTCCTCCCCAAACTCCAACTGCCACTTCTTCACCTCAGTTGGGATATCCACCACTGCGGGCTCTTTGCTTTTCATGACACCTGACGATTCGTTCAATGTAGACAGCATAACCGACTTTCCTGTATCCCAGTCAAACACATCTCCATTTTGCCGTGCTCCGCCATCCGCTTGCACTCCCCTCTCCCACTGAAACTGAAGCTTGCTGGGGTCTAGACCCGCTAGTTCACAGAACTTGGTGACAGCATCCGGATTATGGATAACGTCGTAGGCGTCCAGAAGCAGCGGAGTAGCTCCGGTTTGCTCGATCGACCAATCGAATAGTGACCGGGTCCAATGGAGGGTCATGTTCGTAAGTAGGGTTCCTGGTAGTATCTTGGTGTCCATGAAGCCCAGATCCGATATCTTATTCATGGCCCGGCAGAATGAGGGAAACACTGTGGCTGGATGGCGGATGATGAATGCCATTGTCCATGTGCGTAGATACTCGTCTGGGAGGATTGTCTTGTTGTTGGTGGAAAACGTCCGTGTAGGACCATAGGCGCTAGGCACATTGACCTGGAAGGTTGAAAAGTCGTAAGGGCCCTTCTCAGGTCCGTGTATAGCTTGCATGAAGGCCATGGGATTGGAGAGCCAGAAGGAATGTTCCTTGGCGAACATGGTCTTGTTCTCTCGCTCGGCTAGAGCGCACATCTCCTCTAGGTGGTCAAAGCATTCTTGGAAGGTTGACTGGACCTCATGTTTGGCTTCATCGGTCCATTCCGAGGGGGCCTGTGTGAGTCGACCGTCTTTAGCGACAGTGAGGAAGGCATTGTAGAAGAAATAGCCGCCCCGATCTGCTGTGATGGTGTTGGGCTGGCCAGGGATATTGAGGATCTTCAGGAGCAGATTGGACGCAGTTCGGGGAACGCTGACCAAGAGAAGACGGCGGGGTGAGTCTTGGCTGTGCATGATTGGCGAATCCAATTGATTGATAAGTTCGATTCAGCTTCTACTATGGCCGTTTCTTCTTGTCTCGTGTGTAGATTGGCTGCAGACAGAGCAATAGGAAGCTTGGAATATTGGCTCATCTTGGAGCTATATGGCGTGATCAGGTACGTATATATATATATAAGCTTGAGGAGCTGCCAGGGAAGTTCCTTTCATCGTTGCGACAACCTGCAGCGGAGCTTCGCGCCTTTCGAAGGACCGAGAAGTGGAGGTGCAAAGACAGCGTTGCATTGGACTAGCCCTGAGAGGTAAAGGCGGAGATGCAGACAGGGAGAGAATACGGATGTCGGCTTTAGCAACGTCCGAAAACCTGCCCGTCAGAGACAATGGGGTATAGTAGAGTATGTTATGTGGATGGAAACCCCAGCCGATAAATAATGGACAGACGCCGGTCGGGGACTATTGTAGTATGACAAGCTGCAGATCACCGTTGGGTGGAGACGGCAGGTGCCGATTAGGGGAAAAAGAAATTGCTGCCGGTTTCTTCCAGGTCTCGCCACATGTGGCAGCTTTGAGATGCCTCCATTTAGCTGGGATGTCCATGGCTGGTAGCTGGAATTCCGGACATAAGCAGTCCGGTTTCCATACCCGGGAGAGGGGGTTGTTTAATGGAGAGAATCCGTCCAGCGAGCCCCGGGGTTATCGAATCAAAGGCCTGAGCCGCCTAGACACTAACAATATGTTGTGTGGTAGAATAACTTTTCATTATAATCAATGGAATTGGGCTTGTAGATTGTAACGAAGTCTCGCTGTAATGGTTCGTCTCAAGTAAGCCAGAATCAGACAACATTCAGGAAGGCAAAGTCACGACGGCTGGTCAAGATCCATATTGGTTCCTGATGTGGTGAGTAACTAGGGACGAGGCGTTGTGGAATAGCTCCACTTGCCAACCAAAATAACTATAAGAATGAGGACTTGACCTTTGACGCGTCAGGTGCAATTTGTGATTTATGAAGGAACACTGTTGACTCATGTAGTATATCTGATTGATGTGCTGATAAAGTCTTAGTCTGTATAGTATAGCTTATATTGAAATTTAATTTTCGCTTAGAATAGTATTCTGACAAAGCCTATGGAGATGTCCCGAAATGATCGGCGTGAGATGCGTTGGATCCTGGGGATTGGGCGTATAGATCCGGTGGCCTAGGCATGAGTCAGGGCCTGCAGGCTGGTGGTCCCGAAATCTGACCGAAACCATAGTCCAGACTGGAGTGACATGGGTGTGTAGCATATAAATACATTGGATAGTCGTGGACTCGTTTGTTGAGTCGCGTACATTCCGTGTATTGGACGAGGATGTAGGGCCTGTGGCCTGCTCCTTACCCAGCCATTGTTGAACCTCGGATGGAGGCAACATGCCAATGCCGAAGAGAAGGTTGTGGTTTCCAATTTCAGGGGGCTTAGCGAACAGTTGAGTCAATTTAATAGAACCTCTTCGTTATAAGGTTCAAAAATCACGCCGTCGCTTCAGACACCGGCTCTGCCTGGGCTCTCGGCATCTGCTCTGACACATCAGCTTTGATACCTTGGGCTTTTTCTTTGGCAGCAAGCTTGGGTTGTCTATGAAGAGGACGTGGAGCCATGCTTCCTGTTTTAGCAATGACCAAATTCCGCTTGCGCCGACTGTGCCAGGGTCCGTCATCCGATTGACGGATATAATATCCCAGATCAGCAGTTGGATCCCACTCCGTCTGGGAAACACCAATGCCCAACCAGGAGAAACGGTTGCCCTTGTACTTAATATCCCAGTCATCAGCACGTGGCTCTCTCATTGCCTCAAGATAGTGTAAAGTGCTTCCAGGCCAAGTCGTGGGAACGCGACCGCCGATGGTATGGTTGTTGTGGGAGTTGCGGCAATTATCCGTCCAGACGGCCTTTTCCATGAATGAACCGACATGCTCCTTGAACTCAGCGCAGACATCCCGCTTGAGTGCCATGCTATGGATGGGCTCCGTTTGGTAACGGTCAATAAAGGAGCAGATGTAGTCTGCTTGAGCTTCAATCGCAACCATTGTAGGGCCATTGGAAACAGGCGTGTAGGGGCCAAGCATGGTAAACGTGTTGGGGAACTCAGAGATACCGATTCCCATGTAGCCCATGATGGACTCGGCCCATTCTGTCTGCAGGTTGCGGCCATTGGGTCCAATGACAGGGTAGCGTGGAATGTAGGAAGTGTCAAATCCGGTAGCACAGATGATAATGTCGCCTTGATGCTCATTCCCGTCTTCGCTTACGCAGCCAGATGGTGTTACCGCAGTCACACCACCGTAGACCACGTCGACATTCTCTTTTTTGAGAGTCTGCCACGCGTGTTAGTATCACCTTTAGAAACACCAGGGGCGCGGAATCCTCACATTCAGATACCTGAAGCCCGATGGTACCACACGCTTGCAGCCCACAGAGAAGTTCGGTATCAAACGATCTTCCATTTCCTGATCTTGAAAGGCGTTCTTCATCACAGATGTCAGGAGACCTTTTGCCTGCTCCTGAAGGACAGTATCCTTGAGATACATAGCTGTTCCTATTTATCAGCAACAGTCGCCCACGTCACAGGTGCGTTCAACATACTGAAGATACTGTTCATAGTCCGTTCATTATCCTTGCGCAGCGCTGTCACGCTCTCCGGATTGTTCACAAAATGCTCAATCTGCTCCTCGGGGAACTTGCCTGCCTCCGTGCTAATGTCGGGCAGCAGCCACGTCGGCGAGCGGATAAAGATTTTTACTCTGTTAACAATAGGCTGAATCGCAGGGAGAATCTGAACAGCCGATGAGCCCGCACCGATCAACAGAACATTCTTCCCTTCAAGCGACACGCTCTCATCGTACATCGCACTGTGTAGCTTGGTGCCCTTGAAATCGGCCAGTCCCGGAATCTCGGGCCAGGCAGGCTTATTGAGATAGCCCGTCGCATGAATCAGGATGTGACACCAGTCATGTACTGTGTGACCCGTTGTCAAGTCGGTCGCCGTCACTTGCCACTGGCCCGATTCCTCGATCCAGTTGGTTTCGGTGACGATGTGCGAAGTGTGGATGTATTTCCGCAGGCCGTACTTGTTGGCAAAATCATTGAAGTATCCTCTGATTTCGCGGGAGCCCGCGTATACAGATGACCAGTCTGATTTGGGTTCAAACGAGTAGACATAGTTGTGCGAGGGAACATCACAAGCGCATCCTGGGTAGCGGTTTTCATACCAGGTTCCCGAAATCTCAGGATTCTTCTCGTAGATCTGCATTCCAGGTTAGAAAAGCACCAAGAGAGACCGGGGAAATACCATGTAAAACGCACAGTCAGGTCATAGTTCTGGAACGACCTCTGCAGCTTGTATGCCAGACACAATCCCGAGGCACCTGCACCCACGCAGACTACCTTGACATGTCTCTCGTTGTGAATAGCTTCCGCTCGAATAGGATCCATTGTGAGTAGACAGACTTTCTTTCTCGTCAGTGAACACAAACACAAGAGGAAGATCTCTATAGCCAGGAGAGCAGCGAAACAAAAGCTGCAGACGACGGCCGTTTAGCCGAGGGGCAAAGCAAGAGATCATGGCCACAAGGACCATCGGATTAGTATGATGGTCGACAAGCTCATTGGTGGGGGGGCGAGTCGGTCATGCCGTCACAGTCTTCAGATATTCGGAGCGAAGACTTCCAGCTCCACTTGCAGATGGAGCTAGTCGCTAAATCCCGAGCTGGCCAAGCGGGAGCGAGCTGAGCATGCCACAAGCATAGAGTTGCGAGGGGTAAGTAAGTTTGTAGTACTATCTCCGTTTCCAGCCGTTGATGCTGACCGGTACTCGCGAGACTCCAACCACCACCACCACATCACCCTGGCCGGTGGGGCGCGCTAAGGCCAACGAGGCAGTGTTAGCGCGCCCGGTGGTGTTAGTAGTGTTACACCTGAAACGGGCCACAATCAGTATGTTCACCGCTCGAAAATTACCAATGCTGACAGGCAGCATCTACGGTGTAACTAATTCTCGACGATTCTATTCCCTGGCTCCCCAAGGGATCCGAGAATCTGTGAGTTGAGGTCCAGCTGTGGCAATCATTCAGATGCAACGTTTTAGCTTTCCACTTAGAAAAAAAATAATAATATAGAACAGAGTTCTTCCACAGTGGCGCTATGCCCCTTTTCATGGAACGGGAATAGGCGGATGTCGGAGAGCCGGACCTATTCCGAGGATTACACAAGGCCTGAGGCAGTGAAGCAGGTGAAAGCGTATGTTTGCTGAACGACGCATAATGGATCCTAATGCTCAGTATGCATGAAGTATACTCGATCAAACCATTGGGAACATTCATTCCCTAGAAGATCACACTATAGGGTGATTCTGCTCGTGCCTAATTCCCTAACTTCCAGTCCACTGAAGGACAAGGTCAAGAAGGACCAGATTATGATTGGATAGTTCGCCTAAATATGATTGCCAGTGCGTCCGTCGATGGATTTAGTACTGTGCACTAATTTCTGACCTCTTATAGCATATTAAAGTCAGTCCATCACGAGTACCACATCCTTGTAACAGGAATGTAGACAGTGATAACTTAACGCACCGCAAATTCCCCCCCTTGTACTAGGTCGTGTCACTAGTAAGTCTATATAGTCTCCTACAAGCCATGTCCTCCATTCTCCTCTCCATCTGTATACCAGGTTATCACACTGCAATACCGCCCTCGTATACCCCAGGGTCTACCCCAGCACAAGCACCACTAACCAACAGGCCCAATCCCGACAATTGAACCCACACTCAGACAGAGATCCCGATCCGGACCCTTCTCTCCAAGCCCATCCATGGTCCTAATCCACTTCCAACCCCGACTCCATACTCCCAAGGCATGACACAACGTGGCCCAGTCCGAAGAGAAGGCGAGCCCCGTGTTCTCCAAATCCCGGCTTTTGTCTCTTTCCGGGGATTCGCCTCTCCAGGATCGTCTTTCCCGGAAACGGCATCTCCAAGTACGTATCACTCAGATCCAGAGTTGCTCCACTGAAGACGTAAAGTACATGATCGACACCGGCTTCCCCGACCCCGATTCCCAGGCCTTCGGCTCAATGGCGAAAGACCTTAGTCTGGACTCTCTAGTCATCCCTTGCTGGACCAGGACGGGCCTACCACTGGTCTCGTTTGCCAACAACAACGCCTCGATCGTCGGATGGATGGTATACGCCATCACTCCAGTGCTCATACCAGGGTACACCCATCCCCGGTGCCATTGTAGATAGTCCAAGATGCAAACCACGGTTCAGCGGACAAAGGGGTCCTTGGACAATGAGTTCGTCATATAGATGATCTGTCAAATCATTGTCTTTCCACGTCAAGGGTTCTAGAGCTGAGACGGGGTTCGGAGACGCCGATAGTCCATGTCTGTGACGTGGGCAAGAAGATCGATTACGAGGTCTCTGTATCTTTGGAACATTGTGGAGGCGGAAGTCTGAATATGTGGAGGCGCGGTTAGTGGAATCTGGGCCCTTTCGATAGGCGCTTGGTCGTTGTCGTGATGCAGCAGTAGGAGTAGCTGTCAATAATCACTAGTACGTAGATGATTGACACAATGGTGCTAGATCCTTTTCACATTACGACCAGACTACTAATAGTGCAATGATAATTGTTCAATATCTGAGTGCATAAAGTCGCTACGCGTGGTGAAACGTCCCATAGATTTAGTGAATGATCCAGGCTGAGGACTGCAGAATAGCGGGCCCGGGCCTCAACGCATATACTTCCTAAAGAGGCATAGTGGTAATTATAAGGTATCGCACGAGGAGGCGACAGGATCGACAGGCATGCATAACTGGCGAAGAGGTCTTAGAGTGGCCCCGTGGTCGATTACGACTCCAGCCACATTATGCCATATCTCCCCTTTTACGAGGAGGGCTGTCCCCCCCAAATAACACGTCATACGCGACATCGGCACGAAGCGAAATAGAGTTTGCTGCGATCGAAGCGGACTGGGTCCGAGGACCTGGGACGGATCGTACCAAGGTTGATTTGATTGTTGGGTAGAGATCTGCCTGATAACGTGGGTTGAGAGTCAGCTGCAAACCCCGGGCCTCGATCCCGTTGCCGCGTCCTTTTTCCGATATCTTCCGGCTTTGGTAGTGGTGATGTCGATCACGGTTCCTGTATTGCGGGATGGTATGATGGTAGCGAAGGAAGAAGGAGAAAAGTCTAAAATTCTCCGATGTCCAGCGACGCTCGGGGATCGGCGGTGTCGTGGAATCAGTAAACCCTTTGCCCGCTCGTCGATCTATAGGCAAATTGCATAACCCCACCATGAAGGCGACCTTGGGCTCATGAGTCTCAGGAGATTGGAGGGGTGGTAATCTTGTTCTCGTGGTTGCGGTGAGTTGGCGACGGTGGAGTGACTGCACGAGGACTTCATAGCGCATGATTAGGGGCGATAGAAGCTTTCAGGGAAGGAGGGTCGTTGACAAAACATAGACGGGATTCATTCCAGTGCGGGGAACCGAGGTAATTGATACTGCGTATCCAGTTGCCAGTCGAAAGACACCGTGCTGGTGCAGACTCGTAACAGGTTGACCCACATTGATTGCGAGTGCGGCCTCCGCGTGATCAAAGGAGGAGTCCAGACTGCGTGTTAGGTTGGCGCAAATTGCATTAATAATTGGGTCCGTGGTAAAGGAATCATGGCACCTTTGATTACGAAGGACACTACTTGGCTATCGTGAAGGTCGGGATCCAGCTACTCAATGGTGAAAAGTGGAGGACGGCCTTCTCCGGCGGGAATGCAATGGTTCTGTCACCGTTTTTCTGAACCATAGTCCCGTCATTTCCGGCATTTGCAATTCTGGATATGGCGGTTGAGGTAGTTGAACCTAGATACGACTCCAAAAGGATGATTAAGGTTGCCTAAATGTGGCCATGTGGTTCAGGTCGAGGCGCCACGGGCTAGGATCGTGCAGTAAACCACGTTGACTGGCGTCGAGAAGGCGAGGCCCAGCGTGGTTGCTCCACGATCCAGGTAGCCTGGACAAGGGTAGCAGCGCCAAGGTGGGCATTTCGGCCGCCCGGCGATGATGCTGCAGGGGTCATCCGTCGCTGATTGGAACCCAAACAGATGATCGCGGGCTGGCCTCGCCACAGTACATTGCTTTCTACTAGTAGATAGTGTTTGAATCAACATGGAGCAGACTTGTGGTACACTAACGGTTCAGTTGGCACTGGCAGAATCATAGCTAGGTCATATCCACAGTATAACTAACCGGGGCTGATAGTAGTGTTGTAACTTGGGAACTGAGAGCCTGTACTCACCCAATACCGGCCATAAGCGTCATCCCCGAATGTGGCGGTGTAACAAAGGTGGCGTATCCAGGCGAATAATCGGGAGGAAGAAGGTTCTGTTCTCCGACTGAAAATAGATGTTGGAGTCTCACAGTCGGATGCTAATGTTTCTTGATGTCGGGCACAACTGTAAGTAACACCACCGGAAATGAGAAGTTATCTTTTACGAGAGATTCTGGCTGTTACCTTGACTGAATAACAAACAAACAGTAAGGGGAGAGGTGGGCTGTGTTATCAGTGCCCCTGAGAGAAAGGCACTGATAGCAAGTATGTAATTAATTAATTACATACCACCTCCTCGGCACACACACACACAAAAGAAGGAAAGCAACCAAATAACAAATAACAAACTCACCAGGGGAAAAAAACTGCCCATGGTTCCAGGGTCATTACGGTAATGGTACAATACCCATCAAGCCACCACCGACTTCAGTCCCAAGGCAGGTAAAGTTCCCGGCACGGCGCGGCGGAGGGCAACCACCGCATCTCCACCCTCTACTTTTAACAACCCAACCATGGATGAACTTCCACGCACGTCCCCACTCCCTCCCCGTTGCCATAATGCGAGAAATGGCCCACGGTACGCCTGTCCAAGAATGGATATCCTACCACCGACGTACGGAGCTCCATACTCAGCTCTTGGCTTCTGCAGATTTGGACTCCTTCCAACAGCATTCTCGCTCGCTTGCGCTTCGATGATGACAACACTCGCCCTTGGAGACCACGGTGCGCCGTGCCCGGTAACACCCTGTCTAGCTCATCCGAACCCGCACGGCCCATGTCATCCATGGCTAGTAGGGGAGAATGAGAAATGGCTCATCCACTGGACGGAGCCATTGCGAGGATTGGTCATTCGACCGAACCTCTGTCAATTTCCGCTAATTACTTATAAAGGAGCCATGCATATCCCCGGGGTGTCCTCCTGTCGGGAGAAGGTATAAGGTCGTCAACGTGCAGTGCTGTGGTACTACTAAACCTCGCTTGCTTATCCTAAGGATTCACCACCACGCGTGACTAGTACACTACATATTTTCAAGTGCAGCTCTTCCTTGCACTTTCCCCGATTTGGCTTGCCAAAATGGGTAGTCTTTCTCCCTTGCTTCTAGCATCGCCGCGCATGCTGCCCCATTACTTCATCTCAGTTCTCTATGCGCTATTCTCCTCTCTCTTCAACCTCATCCCAGACCACGCAAAAAGTCATCTCTTCAAGTCGGGCAGAGCACGCGACTTTCTGCCGTCAACGTGGAAGCAGGTTGACTATGAGATCCGCAACGTCGTCAACCACCACGGCCGTTATTGGTGGCACACCACGGGATACGTGTTGAATCTGCTCCTGCAGGAGGCCGGCTACACAGATCATGCGCAACGACGCATCCTGACCTTCTTCGGTCGCTCGATCGCTCCGCACCTTGGAGTCGCAAATGAGCCTGGTGCGCAGAGATGGCCGAGTTTCATGACGGACAACCATAACCCAATCGAATTGAGTTGGGACTGGCATACTGGCAAAAAGTCTCCGACGGTTCGGTTCTCAATTGAACCCGTGGGCCCCAATGCCGGCACGCAAGTGGATCCCGACAACCAATCTGCAGACGCGCACTTCAGGAAGGTCCTGATGCAGGCGTTACCCAACACGGATAGGGAATGGTTCGACCATTTCGATCAAGCATTGGCTCCGGACCTGCCTCCCAAGGGCTGCATGGAGGGCCATCCGTCGAAGATCTTTTACGCCTTTGACCTGAGCGAAGAGGATATCACCGGGAAGGCCTACTTCTTCCCCGGCTTCAAGGCCAGGACCACGAAGCAGACAAATCTACAGGTCCTCGCCGAAGCAATTCGCACAGCTCCTCATTGCAGCGACAATGAGAAGCTTGGCGCCTTCTTGATGTTCGAGGATTTTGCCCAGGATCCCTCGACGCCGCCGCTGGAGATGGACATGCTAGCCATCGACTTGGTCCGCCCGGCTGATTCGCGCCTCAAGATATACTTTCGCGCGCGCGAAACGAGCTTTGCCTCTGTGCGTCAGATGATGACGATGGGTAACCGGATTACCAACCCGTCACTAGAAGCTGGACTGCGGAATTTGAGGAAGCTGTGGGACGGGGTTCTAGCCCAGACTGGCGTGCCTGATGATACACCCCTCCCAGCTGCTAATCATCGCACAGGGGGAATCCTGTATAACATGGAGTTCCGCCCAGGAAGCACGGCCCCCAACGTCAAGGTGTATATTCCCGCCCGACATTACGCGCCAAGCGACTGGCATGTGGTCACGGCGTTGAATGAATACATGTATGGGATCAACGAAAAGTCAGAACTGCCCATGCGTACCTATACTGAGACCCTGCGTAAAGTATTGTGAGTAGCCAGTGTCCGATCCTTCCAGTGCATATTGCTAACATTCGGTGCAGCACGCACGATGCTCTCCAGCAACGTGGTCTACACACCTATATCGCCTGCTCGGTTCAGCCGGGTGGTGATCTCCGGGTTGTGTCGTACATGAATGCGCAGAGCGAGAAATTTGCCACGACATGAGCATGTGGCTATGACATGATGAATCATGAGATACGATTTAGTGTATGTAACATCTCTTTTCCTCAAAACCAGTCTACCCGTTTTTCTACTTCGTACTGTAATTAAATACATGACATAACCTATTTATTGCCTTGATCATTTGAACCAGATGACACTGGAAGATGCTTACCTTGAGACACACCGACACAGCATTAGTAAAGAAAGGAATTCGTAGGATGACGCCTTCTGGTACGCTGGGTAAAGATACCGCAAAAGGGTCGAGGTCCAAGCAGCGCGATGCAGCGAGTAGAGACCAAGCGAGAAGTAAGCGTGGGCTCCACTTGAACGGGCCACACCCGAGCTCGTGTCATTTGCTGATAACCTCGGATCAGGTTGGCCCATGCAAAACCGAGTCGGCTCGCGAGTGGGGTCTTCCGAGTTTTTCAGTGCACATCGACGGAAGGTCATGATGGAGGAGCTGGTCTCTGGCATGCATCCATTTCATGATCGAAGACCGTATGCAACAGCAGCTACTCCAATCTTCGCAGAGGCGGCCTGAACGACTACGGGATGGAATCATCCTGCAAGTTTCACTTGGCACAGAATAAGACACGGGAAATTACCTCTCATGCCATGCAGAAGACTATACCCAGAACTCCCTCGGGCGCAGCTCTAGTGTCGGTGGTCGACCCACTGCAGTGACTTCTCGTGAGGCCCTACTGTCAACACGTGTCGGATCGACAGAGGGGCACCACGACTTGGGGTTGGGATTTTTAATCATATCCCTTCACTGTTCTCCTCGACACGTGTGAGTCCATCGAGGGCATTCCACCATGTGCTTCCTTTATTCCTTGGATCATTCCTCCCCGGTTATCCGGTTTCCAGGATCCCGCCGTAGCCGCGAGGCATGCGTATCTACTGACTGCAGTTTCCTCCGGCCAAGGCGGGTAATACTCGGTGATGGCCACTGCCATACCTGACGGAGTACCCAGTCAATCTGATACAATTGTAAAAGAAATAGTGTATGACCCGTTGGGGCGGCGCGCTGATAATGCAGTCAGACCAGACTTACTACGACCCTTCCATTCTCTGCAGAAGAATGTTCCATAAACCCAGTCAGTCGACGGGAAGAACAGCGCGGCGCCCGAATAGTTCCCACACTAAGAATCTTCTGGCGCCCTCGACGTTGGGACCCAGTTGGTAAGATCGAGAGGGGCAATTCTTCAGCAACAAGCCCTGAATTCTCACCTTCGTCTTGGTTAGTTTGACACCACCTGGCGCATCTATATGGAACCCGCGCAAGAATCAGTCAACGAGGATCAACCGAATTGAGTCTCACGTAACGATCTATGTGGGATTTTCCTACCCATACCGTATACCTTGATCTGGTTTCTTACCAATATGGATCCGGACTCACTCTTGAGGGGTTCTCATCCGTCTTGTCGCGAAACACGACATGCCAGGAATGCCCACCCCGCCACCCCCTTCCTGGCCAAATTTCAGCTCTGCCGTCCATTGTGGATCCGCCTCCTACCTATTCGGGCTGTTCGTTTCTAAAGTCAATGTCTTGCTTGATCCACCATGGTACGGCTTTCGTTGCCTTGCAATTCGTTACGATTCGAAACTACAGGGCACTATAGCTCAGTCGATTCTAGCGAGCCGATCTCACACCGCTGGATGGAAATACTGACTCCTATCTCAACATTATTGTCCCCACTAGTAGACGACATTGGTCTTTTGACCTGGATTCCTGCACAATAATCTGATTCGACGGTCTGCAACAGCCAAGCCATATGGTACCCCACTGGTATCTGTCAGATTATCTATCTCATGCTATATCCAAACCGTGTCAGCAATATAACATGTCATCGCATGAATTCCCCACTAATATGTCCAGCTTGAGGGGGATAGTCAACTAGTAACATTCACGCAACATGCAAAAGAAGCATAGTACCAACCCCTCTTCACTATAGTAATGCGCTATACTATTCATTCATAAAACCCTTTCCAGAAATGCAATGATAGATTGGTTCTACCTACAGCAAATGTGTAGATACAAAATTAACAAAGATAATATGACCCTCTCATAAAGCAATTACAACGATAACGATATTGTAATAAGATTTCATCTCTCTACTATCGATAGGGTATATACAACCCCCAGTATTTCCGAGAACCCAACCGAGAGACCTAACTGGATTCATGAAGATCATTCCTCAGCCGAACGACAAGAAAATTAAATCCATTTCTTCATACATAGAGACGTACCAGAGAACTGTTAATATTTTGCTACTATAGTATGATCTGTAATTATCTCTATGGGAATCTAAACGTTCCCTCATATATGAGCCATGTATGAGGAAGTGGCTAACTCTATTTAAAGCAATGATATGAAGTGGGTGTTATACGCTCTCAAAGTTGGGGTCATTACTATGGTTTGGCTTATATACGGACCGTGTTAATATGCTAGTTCGTAGGGATCAATCTCTATGTATATTAAGATTTAGAAAGTTTACTGTTGTTCAGGAATATGTGTTACGCAATACTCAAAATCATTTATAGCTCTGTTGTCTTTAATTGTTGGCAATACTACAATACTAAGCGTCGAGTATGGTAGCATTATTAATTGAACATACTCACTGTCCGACACAAATATTCTAGTGTTCATGTTCGAAACAAATGTGCTATATTGAAACATATTATTAAATCGATGTATATGAGAACAGTTATTCTTTATGCCTGCCTATGCCAACTAAGATCATCTCTTCTCAACTGCTTTTAACATCCACCACAGGACCCTTGTACACCCTCCTTCCCTGAACAATATACATCGCCAAACTAATAACAATCACCCCCACGAAGAGCACCACGCTCCAATTGAAATTGTTCAGGGTCACGGGTATCTCGGTCGGCCAGAAAGACCAGAACAGCGCGAAGATCACATAGACTAACGCTACCGCATTGATCCAGATCCCGTGCTTCCCTAGACTCCACCGTCGCGGGGGTAATGTCTCCGGACAGGAGATTTTGCGATACATGACGCAGCTGATGGAGATAGCGTAGGTCCACATGAGCGCTGCTACGTTTAGGGAGATGATGGCGTTGAAGGCGGTGTCGGAGCCAATGTTAATAAGGGAGAGAAGGCCACTGATGATGCATGAGAGGGCGATGGCGTTCACGGGGAGTTTGTAATGCTGGTTGACTTTTGAGATCCAGTTTGAGAAGGGTAGGCCCCTGTCGCGCGCGAACGCGTAGGTCTGGCGGGCAGTGGAGGCGTTGAATAGAATGTTGCTGAAGATGACTGGGATGAGGATTATAGCGGTGAGGCCGTTGACACCGGCGGTTGAGACGGCTTGTTTGAAGACGTAGATGAAGGGAAACCCGGTCGGATCGTCTAAGGCATCTTTTACGGAGGGCATTGCGAACATGAGGGTGATGATGAGTACGAGGGCTAGAATGCCGTTGCTGAAGTAGCCCCCACAGATGGCCATAGGGACGTATCGGCCGGCGTCGCGGACCTCTTCTGACATGTGTGCCGTGGCGTCTGAGCTAAGGGATCCGTAGATGGCGGATATTTGCCCGATCATTAATGCTAACCCGACGTTGTTCCAGCCGCCGTAGAGGCTGAATTCGGTGAATACGGCCTTTGCGGACTGGCGCGGGGCCATGGCCCAGAGGACGACAATCACGACTACCCAGCAGATGGTGTGCAGGGCTAGCAGGGCATTCTGTATCCGTGGCATCCAGCTGGCGGCATAGACATTGAAGAAGTAGATGATCAGGATCATGGCGAAAACAAAGAGCGTTCCTTGCCATCGCTTGGGGTCGTAATCGGGGTTGCGCACGCTGATGAGCCCTTGGATGATTGTGCCGGTCAGGAAGGACCCTGATGCGGCGCCAGCCTGCCATGCGAGAACGGACATCCATCCGGTAATGTAGCTGAGGAACTTTTGGTATCGTGGAGAGGCAAACTCGGACACCCAGTGGTACTGTCCTCCTGATGTTGGAGCCATGGATGCCATCTCCGATAAGGAGACGATGATGAAGCCGAATCCGACAAAGGTCCACACGTATGTCCACACCAGGCCAGCCATTCCACCGTCTTCAAGACCTTCATAGTTGGATCTGGTCACTCGGATGCGTTAGTGCTGGAAGAATGTGCGTGGTATGAGATGATAGGAAGAAGATGCCGTACATTAAAATGAACTCCCAGGTAGCCTGCAAGACTGAAGCGAAACTCAAGGCAGCGAGAGGCCGGAGATTTCTCTAGATTTAAATACGAGGTCAGCTACTCATTCTTACTGTGTTAGTCGCGGAAAAGTTGCAAATGTCATACCTTGAACTCCTGCGCTTTGCCCATGCGGTTCATGTCGCTGTGGTCATATCGCGTGCCGGTTTCCCCGCCATTCCCCTCGCCCGCTTCGACTTCCAACGGATGACAGCCCGTCGTCACCACTCGGTCGCCCTTTTGGATGCTGCCCGCTTCCCCAGTTGCGGACGACATTCTGAGGAACTGGCAACGAGCTAAACTGAGATGAAGATAGATGAGGCTGTGGAGGCTAATTCTGCGACCACCGACTAAAATACAACACAGGAAGTCAGGCTGTGTGACGTGAGGGATCAAACAAAGAAACCACCGGCCATTTCCACCAGCATCCCCTGATTTCCCCTGCAACTGGCCGTTAATTCACTGGATTTCTTACAGCTGGGTGGTGGGAAGGAGTTTCCCTCATTATTTGTCTCAAAACTTGCTGTATCCAGCGTGGGGGTTTCCCCAGTCTTTGTTCGCCGACCGCCATCAGGGGCCCATGGCAGCAAGGGTCGGAACGCACTCACATGGCCCCATGGTACTCCTCCCGGAGAATGTGGCCAGTCAACATGGACACAAGACGTCGATCTCTGCCACCTTGATTTCTGAAGGGGGGCGCAGACACTCACAATGTGCTGGCGGCGGGTGCGACAGACAACGTGAGCGCATAGCACGGCTCACCAGCTGCAACTTTCTGACATGCCCGCCACTCGATCGGCACTCTTGGCAAGCAGGGAATTTCTCCCCCCTCCTTCTTCCTCATGAAGAGGTGATTGATTGTCTTGACAAATGATACACGGAATAACCAGGATGAGCCGATTCAGAATCGGTCCACTGAGGAAGCAGGTTTGATTTCCAGGAGGGAACCTCCGGATAGGCTGGACGGTCATTGGACCGGCCACCTGTCATGGCACCAAAATGGGGCGTGGCTGTAACCCATGCCTGGGATGCAGACAAGTAAGGAATCTCTCGTCTTTGATCCCCCTTCTCAACGCAGGGCCAGCGTTGTCAAATCTGGGCCAGGAGCGACTGGCTTTTCGCGTGGCATGAGATAGGGATGTCTGTATTTGATCAGGTGCAGCATTGATAGCCATTAAAGTTTAGGGGCCCATTCTCACGGCGGATTGGCCAGTCTCCGCGAGTCAGCGTGGCCAGTCCCGAAAATAGCTCATTCCTATCGACGCGCGATGCGGAGAGGAGGGGTCGATTAGCAGTTGATCAGCCGGGATCCAGTTTTGCTGCTGTGCTTATTCGCGCCGGTATCCACCAACGACATGCGATCGGGGCGTACCGTCAAGACTTCGGACTTTCGTGGTGGATATCTGCTTGTCCTACCTCCCGGTGTAGAGGAGTGTGCCAACAATGCCTGCCGGCTTTTTCAATCACTCTCGCTTTTATCAGGACATAATCGACCTGGCCATGTGTGCTTGTCCATGGTTACACACTCGTCCAGTCTTTTTTCGTATAAGCATAACCCCTGTCCGACCAGCTCAGAGAGAATAACAAACACTCGATGCGCCTCGAACGTGACGGCGGAAAGGCTAAGGTGTCAAGGGAGCAATCAACCCTGTCGGTCAAGACTGTCAGCCGCAGAAGTAGTCGGCACACCCACCTTCTTCATCTCAGCGACGCGACAATTCTCACGAATTTTCTGGGTAGATAATATCGCAATGTCGTGATGATATCCCTTCTTCAGCAGTAACAGCGGGTTTTTAGTCGCAGTGCACCTATTGCGATGGCCGTCCTGGCCTCCTCGCTTCCTCCTGGAGTTTCCCCTCCCTTGACGGAGGATAACGACCATAATCATAACGGTCTGATCGTTATCGTTACTTCACTGGCTCTATTCTTGGTTCTCGCCTCGCTGGTCATCCGAATATTCGCCTCATCAAAAAGAGGTCTCATGCTCCAGGATGACCACGTTCTCTTTGCCGCAGCAGTGGGTTAGCTTCCACTAAGAATGTCCGTTTACAAACTAATCTCCTGGGTCCACCAGATATGTGCTTGCACCCAGGTATCGCTTGTGCTTCTCCAGGTTCACTATGGGTGGGGCAAGTCCAGAGAGCTGATCCCGTTCAGTGACTACACACAGATGAAGAAGGTAAGTACGTTGTTCGAGCGCAGAGACCGGCCAACGAGCTAAACGCCTTAGGCCGGATACGCGGCGGATCTGTTTTATGTCCTTATCATTGGTTTGTCAAAAATAGGCACGATGCTTTTCTATCAGAATCTGTCCTTGCAGCGTACAAAGTGGATGATCAATGCTATCATATCATCCTGTGGCCTATGGACCATACTCGCAATATTGCTCCTAGCCATTCGATGCAACAGCCGTCCTTGGACTGATATCGATTCCGCATGTGGTGGGCTTTTCCCACGATGGCAAGCCATTTGTGCCCTTGACATTGTTTTGGAAGCCGTGATCCTTGCATATCCAGCGATAACGATCCGAAATGTGCAAATAACCTTGAGCAAGAAGCTAAAGGTTCTATCCATTCTGAACTGCCGGGTCATGTACGTCGCCTGTCTTTACATACGTGCTGAGTTTTCGCATGCTGACACGAATATCTCCATCCCAGATTGATTCCCCTTTCCGCTGTGCACCTATACTACATTCACCACCTTCAGATATATTCCTCCAACCCCACGCTTGTCGGCACCTATGCCACCATTGTCGCAGAGCTACACCTCAGCCTCAGCATCGTTCTTCTCACAGTCTCATGCCTAAAAATGTTTGTCGCGGTTTACGAGGATGATCATGGGCTCGCATACACGGAAGATGCTTCGAATTCTCACAGTCGCAGCGGGCGCAGCGGGCCCAAATCATGGCGATCATCTCGCCCGGTCAAAGACCTGAGCTCGTTTGGTAGCAGTTGTAATGAAGAGGAGCCGATCTTACGGACGGAAGCGACCGTGTCGGCCTCCTCACCACCGCTTGAAGGGCATCGCCGCAATGCGATAATGAAAAGTGTACAGATATCGGTAACCCGAGAGAGCATTGAACTGGGCGAGATGGCGGGACCATCTTCTGCTGCGATACCTAGGTCAACATGATTTTCTTCCATCGGTAAGTTTATTGTATGATCAGGGAGGTCCCATTTGTCAATAGATAATCTAATGAACTGCATTGGGATTGGGTATTACCTATATCCTGTTACTAAAGTTTGTGCTTTCCGTTGACAGTATGCCGAGGACCTCTTAAGTCCTGCCGCTGCTATACTAATAGACATGATGCGACAGTCTCCAACATAACAGATCTAAGTACTTGCTTGACCTGCCTTTGTGATAGGTTGATATAAAGCATGATCAAAAAGGCACCCACATCTTCCTGAGCAGCTCCTGAACGGGTACAGCTTCAATAAGAAATATGGGTTTGCACCTGCATCACATTGTATTCATTGGCATATTTGTCCAGACCTACCATCTTAATCATATATTACACGACATGTAACATGTGATTCCCAAATGCAGACGCGATCGCATAAGTTCCCATCTCAACGATGGCGAGATACATATCTCTGATCCCTTCAGCAATGAGTTGAAGATGCTGCTCACTATATGACAGCTTCTGCCACTAGCTCCTGAGATTGCAGGATCGGGCAGCTCGCTACAATGCTGCTGTGCACCCAAATTGGAGATTCTACGGGACCTGTTCAATCCAGGCCATAGTCATTTACCTGTCCGTGGCAATCGGATCCCGGCCTTTGAAAGACAGCTCATGGATGGCAACCGTTCTTGGGCAGTTGCCAAGGAAATACCTAACAACTGTATAGGTGTGGGTTATGCCTGAGGCAATCTGAGTGTATGCGATGGGTTGTCAGGACAGCTTTGTCATATTCTACCGATTGCGGTAGAAAGAACCGACGAATATGCCATTTAGCCTGTTTTGCACCTCACTGCGGGTCAGGGTCAAAATGGCCTTCTGCGAGGAGTTGGATACCGGAGAGCTGTTTGTGTGTTTCTGTCTTTCGAATGAGTTGAACCTACTTGTGGAATAAGGCGTTTGTGTCTGACAGCACAAGTGTTTAGTGACTATTCACCTATTCGTTTTTGATGAACACAATCTCTTGTATCTGGCTCTGTCCCAGCCAGCCCATCGATCCCCGCACTCGGCGCCTCGGGCCAAAATCGACCGGGACCGTGCGGAGATTCCCATTCCTGGATTATTTACTTCCTTGCATGCAGATCCCACCGCTTTCGCGTGTTTGTCTTGCATATCAGGCAAGTGTTGCAATTCAGGCTGTTAATATTGTGAGTGTCACTCTCATGTGTCCGGCGTGCATAACGAACGGTTGATGGCGGGCGTGGTTTCGATTGTATGACATACTTAAAGTATGCCGAGATCACCTTCTAGTCATCGTACAAGCTTTAACGTACGATCGGCATTCACTTCGCCTCTCGGGACAATGCTACACCTGGTCTGCCTAGCTTTACTGTGTCATGTTGCCCGTGGTCTCCCAACCCAGGCAAGCCATAATGCACAACCAGTGATCAACCTCGGCTATGCCAGATATCAAGGTGTGCGTCTCGAAGCTGGAGTTGACGAGTTTCTTGGGATGCGCTATGCATCTCCGCCTATCGGTGACCTGAGATTTCGAGCGCCCCAAGATCCGCCTGCAAACCAGACGCTACAAAGTGCCACGGAGGTATTGTTTAGGCTTTCAGATCAATCTATCAAGAGACAAACACCTGACCGTGTCTATAGTACGGGCCAATTTGCATTGGCCTAGACGAGGCAGAGTCGCCTGGCGACATCAGCGAGGACTGTCTGTTTATCAATGTTTTCAAGCCATCCACAGCCACATCTCAATCAAAACTACCTGTTTGGCTCTTCATACAGGGTGGGGGCTACGCAGAGAATTCCAATGCCAATTACAACGGAACTCAAGTCATCCAAGCATCTGATGACGCCATCGTATTTGTAACATTCAATTATCGTGTTGGTGCCCTGGGCTTTCTGGCCAGTGAGAAAGTGAGACAAAGCGGGGACCTAAATGCCGGTCTGCTAGACCAGCGCAAAGCCCTCAGATGGGTCAAACAATACATCGAACAGGTAACACATGTAGTCATGCAGGTATCGCAGTGGTGCTGACGTTATCAGTTTGGGGGAGACCCCGACCACATCGTGATTCATGGGGTATCGGCGGGTGCTGGCTCCGTTGCCTACCATCTATCCGCTTATGGTGGGAAGGACGAAGGGTTATTCATTGGTGCCATCGTCGAGTCGTCTTTTTGGCCTACCCAGCGAACAGTGTCAGAGATGGAGTTTCAGTTCGAACGGTTCGTCAATGATACCGGTTGCTCTTCTGCTCGTGATTCCCTTGAGTGCCTGCGAGAACAAGACATCGCAACCATTCAGAAAGGGAATACCGCGTCTCCCTTTCCAGGGGGAAGTAGCTCTCCACTACCGGACTGGTACTTCCTCCCTGTTACCGATGGCAGTCTAGTCCCGGACGAGTTGTACAACGCTTTCGACGCAGGCAACTTCATCAAGGTTCCCGTCTTGGTGGGCGACGATACCGACGAAGGCTCTAACTTCGCCTACAACGCCAGTAGTAGCGCCGACGTGTCGCGCTTCTTCAAGAACAATTATCCGAATCTAACTTCCCAGCAACTCAACGAAATCAATCAGGTTTATCCTCGCGGCAAATTGTTACCACGGCACGCAGCATACTTTGGTGCTTCCTCCGCAGCATACGGAGACGCAACATTTACTTGTCCTGGAAATCATGTAGCGTCATCAGCTGCCAGATACTTACCGAACTCAGTGTGGAACTACCGGGTCAACATCATCGATGAATCAAATATTGCTGGTGGCATCGGTGTCCCGCACACGTTCGAGCTACCCGCGATTTTCGGAGCAGGGTCAACCGGCACTCTAAGCAGCGACTCGTCGTATCTAACTTATAATGCAGCTATAATCCCCGTTACGATGCATTACTTCATCAGCTTTGTCCAGACACTGAATCCTAATACGTATCGATACGCAACAGCGCCGGAATGGAATACGTGGGGGAATGGGCAGCGTCTCCGGCTGCAGACTAACGATACTGCAATGGAAGCAGTGCCAGAGAGCTCGGTTCAGGATTGTGCGTTTTGGAAAAGCCTAAGCGTGCCAATGGAGGTATAGTCCTGGGACTTGGGTTAGCTGTAGATAGTGACCATCAAGGGCACGAGTCACGATGCTGGGAAAGAGCGTGATTAGTGGCTTACACGTATTCTATATATCATAGTCTCGATGCAAGAATACACAATGTCATTTGACATCCTGGACCAGCGGAAGCCGACCCGTGTCTCATACGAGTGGTAGTACACGAGCACGCCTTATCAGCCAGGGCATCTAGAAGACTGGTGGGCCGATGGGCCGATGGGCCAATCAAATGTCACATTGGCTCAGCACACTTCATCTCCACACGAGGATTTGGTTCCCCGCAGAGGTTTTTCCGCGCCGATAGAAATGATAAGACCCAGTAGTATTTATTTAGTATCCCCCAGTCAAACCACCTGCTGCTTTCTCGCACTTGGTCGGCCGTGTGCTTGTAGATTCCATTGCTAGACTGCTACTCTTTTGAAGTGAGCCAATATGTCTGCCAAGGACCTGACCACACGAGAATGGATCAATGCTTTAATTGAACCTGGCCATCTTCTCGTCTGGGCCCTGCGCTGTAAGTGTGACAACGCTGACATTCCCAAATATTGCTCTGTCACTGGGACAGAACGTCGTCTCAACAGAAGTGACGAATATCTAACACACCGAGTAGATTACGTCAAAGTCAATCTTGAGACCGTCTTTTGCAAAGGACAAATCTTCGCCCCTCTACTCCATCAAAGCAGATTGCGTGATGAGGCATTCGGCAAATTTTGGGTAGCTTTCAGCAGTTAGTGCACCACTTCGCTCCTATCCATGAGTGAACAGACCCCTTCCTCACCTGGAACCCATCACATAACCACCCCTAACTTTCCTCAGCATACCTCCAAGCAAACGCCCCACCACCAGCTACCCAACCCCCAGATCAAATCATCCGCTCCTCAGATCTAATCCCGGTCCTCCTCTCCCGCGCCTCGGGCACCGTCCTCGACGTCGGCCCTGGCACAGGTACCCAAATGCCCCTCCTCCGCTCCCCAGCCATCAAGACCATTTACGGCGCGGAGCCCTGTCACGGCCTGCACGCCGAACTGCGCGCCAGCGCCACCTCCCAAGGTCTAGAGGACAAATACAACATCCTCCCCTGTGGCGTAGAATCCGCAGATCTTATCCCTGCGCTTCAAAAACAAGGCCTTCTCAAAACCGACACTTCAGACGTGCCTTCCATCCTTGAGAACCTGTCCACAACTAAGGAAGGCGTATTCGATACCATCGTCTGCGTGCGCGTCTTGTGCTCGGTCCCTGACATGCGTCGCACCGTCCAGGACCTGTACACCCTCCTCCGACCAGGCGGGAAGATGCTCGTCGTCGAGCATGTAGTTAACCCATGGCGGACGCCTAAGGGGTCCGTGATCGCGAGATTGGTCCAGGCATTTTATGGATTCTTGGGCTGGAGTTGGTATATGGGTAACTGCTGTATGAATCGGGATACCACGTCGGCGTTGAAGCATGCGGCAGATCGGGATGGTGGGTGGGAGTCGGTTGAATTGGATAGCTGGTTTGAGAGTACCCCGATGCCGTATGTGGCGGGCATCTTGACGAAGAAGGGAGGGGTAAACTAGGACGGATTCTATATATACCATAAGCGGCGTTGGTCGGAGACATCGGGGAGATCATATTGTTCAGCTCTATCATTCTTTTTTCCTTACTCGCATAAATTCGAATCTGTAGCAAGATGGGGAAACACCCGAACAGTATCGGACTCTCCCTAAGGATTTATCTAGGAATGATTTACCCCGAATTAATGTCTTGTTATACGTAGTCTCCCAACTCGTTATTTGTATTCATGATTATGCAGAAGTATGAGATCGAGGGAAATAATGTACATTAATTGCACGCATCTCGCTTGTGGTTGAACCATAGTTCAGATCCAACAATGGATTTTTCCGGCTCTTAAATTTCCACATCCCCCATTTGATATTTAATGCGCACGCTTTGTGGGTAATAAAGATGCATTCGTATTGGTAGATTACTGGAACTTAGCCAGATATTCCAGGTAATAAAAAAACAACGAGGAAGATTAAATCTCAAAGTAAGGTGCAATACAGTCATTAACTCACCTAAAACCTCAGGGACGACACCCCAACTTTGTCATACATTTCTGAAGATCCCTTGTCTGCCGAACAACAGCCGAGAAATTCCCACAAATCAATGAGCATGGACATCGCGATTAACAGCAAATTGTGGCTACGACTGAAGATCCCGTCTTAAATTTAGAAGAATTCGTATGGTCGCGATGCATTTCCTATCATCTATTCCGTACTTTATCGAAGCTAAGACAGTGTCTATCACGCATAGCATGATTATAGCTTGACGGGAAGACCCGTTGCAAAAACAGAGTGATTTGAGAATACCCAAACAAGTCTGGCTGGATTGACATTGCAATAAAGACCTTGTCTATCCAGTCTTAGTAGTGCGATGAATGATTGTACATCTGCTCTTTGTTCATCTCGCAGTTTACCGATGATTGTCAGCCACCTTTCCCTTGAAATGGCTTTATCGTTACAGAAAAAGTGTATAAAGATGTGTAACCTTGCTCCTCATACAGTGGGAAAAGTAAACTTGGACGTCGCCTACCTGTACGATTCGTTTGTAATCACTAGTTTCCCAGTTGACTACTTACACCTCGTACACTACAATGGATTGCCCATCAGTCAGCGAGATGACCATCTCCGCTCTACACAAGCTCAACGACTGTCTGCAACATGCACTCTTGCGGGAATTGGCAGAGCAGCTGAAGGCCTACTTCGGGAAGAACTGGAGGCAGAAACTCCGCATCTGCGCTACTTCAAACGGGATCTACGATGACAGCGGGCTGCGTACGGACGAATTTGTCCGACCTCATGCTGTACGACGTTTGAAGAAACTGATCGAGGGGCTGGACGAGTGCATTGAAATTGGTATAGACCCCCCCCCCGGGTCCAAGCGCCGTTTCCTCACTAACAACATGACAGTAACGAAGGATCAGGACTGTCTGTTTCCGGGCTGCGCTGAATATGACGAGTCAATGGAATCCGAATGTGATGAGCCAGGCCCTAAGATTGAACGGCTAGTGAGACCTGAAGGGGGGCCTAAACTCACAAAGGTACTGGAAAAGGTCCAACTTAGGCTTGAGAAGATCGGCTTACTCGCTGAGAGAATGATGGACACTTACAATGACGCGCGGGATTATGAAGCCAAGGCCAAGTTCACGTATGTGGACTATCAGAAGCTGGATGATCCCGACTATAAGCATCATCGTGATGTGGATGTTGAGGGCCTGCGCAGATTGAAGCAACATCTTGTTCGGGAGTACCATCAAGGGTATTCCATCGACTTCCCGAAATATAAAGCTGGACCTAGCGAAGACTTACCCAGCGGTAAATCTGCAGTGGCTTACCTTGAACAGAACCATCGACAGCAGGTCCACCGGTTAATCTTCGCCGTACTCCGCCGACACCACCGGCTGAGCATGTCGCGAAACGCAGCGGAGAAGCGGCGGGCCACCGCACAGGCTGCAGCAGATGGCACAGGAGACGTTTTGTCCGAGAACCCGCCGGCGAGCGTATTTCAACCCCGGCTGCCATCCACCGATGCAATGAGGCATTTGAAAGTTGGCTCGTGGTCCAAGACCCCTCGTCCAGAGACCCTTGAGGGCCAGGAGCGAACATTTCAATGTCCATACTGCGGCGACATGCTCCTGGAGGCAGACTCGGAGCGCACAGCATGGTAGTAAGTTACCGACTATCTCATAGAGAGAAGAGCCCATCAGCTAACACACAAATAGTGAACATGTCAACTGCGACCTTCTACCATTCACCTGTCTCTGGCCATGCTGTAAGCAAGAAGACCCGAAGGAATTTGCGAACGTGGTCAAATTAACAGCCCATCTCGAAGAGAATTTCGGGACAGTCGAGCACTGGGTGTGTGATGCTTGCCTTGCTCAGGGAAAGCCTTGCAACAGTTGCGAATTCATGAACAAGAAGGATCTTGATAAGCATCTTGCCTCGGCTCATCCGAACCACAGCAATGGTTTGACTCCCACTGTCCGTCTGGAGGTCCCTAGCGAATGTCCGCTGTGCCCTCGCAAGCTCATCTATAAAACTCGTGGTCCGGATTCGCTTTATCCCCATGTTGCTAATCATATGGAACGGTTTGTTTCTCTGGCGTTGCCGGAGATTGGGGGTGAGGGGGCGGATTGTTAACCTTCAATTTGCCGGGTAGGGGTTGTAGTAGGTTAGATGATTTTGTTTTTTGGGTATGATATTTATCGGTATCAGAATGTGAATTGCAAGTCTTTGGTAGATAATATATAAATCGCTACTTTATATGTAGATGCTCTGGGAAGACTGAGGAACGAGGTCTGTAGCCATAACTGATTGAGTTTCATCCAGCAACTACTATTACTACTACTAGTATGTATGTACCATTACAGAGTATATGCATCTAGATCCACCACCCCAGTCAGGAAGTGCATTCACCCCAGACCAGACCCACCGCTGAATGCGGACTCACTGACTCCACTCCAAATTATATAAAACTCACCACCCATTAATAGAGCAATATGATGCATACAAGACGCGGTATCATGATGCGAAGATTGTAAGGTATTATTACTGGAGATTTAATCCGTTTATTACCAACACTGAGAACATTCTGGAATCGGATTGGTCAGGTTCTATACTTCGTTATATCGGACTTTGGATTCTATGCAAGCCAGCGTCTTGTTTTACTAGATGTGACACAATGGAGAAGGAATACAATTATAATGGGGTGTTGAGTATTAATCCGATTATTTTGAGGGTCGTGAAAGAGATGGGTGGTGGTATTAGGTGTGCCGGACTTAATCAGGTAGAGTTATAATGGGACTGAGAAGGAATGGGATGAGAAGTTGGACGCTAGTGAAATTGAAGATAGATGAGGGAGTGAGTACTATTCGATTTGGAGTTGGGGCGTCTTGTGGCCCTGTTGGAGGCAAGGAAAGTGGCTAGTTGTGATGTTGGGGGGCTGAGTGTGCTGGTGGTTGATGCTGTGAAGAGAGTGATGGAAATTGGGGAGGTGGTGAGGATGGACGATGTTGAGAATATCTTGGCTTATAACAATAAATGAAGTGAGGCGGATGGTATAGATATGTCAAGTCCAATGGGATGGAAGTGTTTTTCTAGTATAATGTTGGTGCATGTGAATGCCTTTGTTTATCGCGCAATGAGGCTATAGGGTAGCGACTAACTGGGGCGAGAATTTGGAATGGGATGATGGAATGATATGCATCGGGTCGGTCCGTCAGGTTTGCGCCACTATACGATCTCCAACGATTGCCAACCGCAGCCATGATGGAAACAAGGGTAAGTATCCAACTATCACCAGTTAAGAAGGGAATCAGGCTGACGCTAGGCAGAACAGACCAGGGGGGGTCTCTGCCTGTCTCCGACCGCTAGTTTCCTCAAGGCCCATTCGCTATTCGAGCTACTTGCTCCCAGCAGGTGTCTAGGCTCTGCGCGATCGCATCCAGACCAGTGAATAATACAGAGTCCATTAGGCAGACATGCATGTCAACCCGCGTCCCACGTTGCTTGCCGCATCCCACAGCCTCCCTGCGTCGAAGATCCATGGAGGCTCTGCTCTGTTGTCGTCCACTCATTCAGGACTGTTCTTCACTACTCCTGAAATCTCTCGAGTGGTGGTCATGTAGTAGACAACTGATGTCATCTGTCCCCAAGGAATCCTCTTGACCTCGTCCCTGGTGCCCGGCTGACTGATTTCTCTACTTGCCCCTGTGACCGATCGAGCAGCCACACTCCATCGCCACACTGCCTCTGCCTCTGTGAACTCTACATTTACCACACACACAACATCCTAGCTGTTGGTAAGGCTGGAGAAAGCTCCAGCTGTGGTGATACCTTGCTCAAGCAAACCCCCCTCGCAGCGGTCGCTCAGCCATAGAGCGAGTAAGAAGCAGCTATGGCCCGGCTGATCGTGACGCCCGGTCATTGTTGCCGCGATTTGCAATATTTAACTTAAAACCCACTGAGTCGCGGCTCGCACCCGACCAGGATATTCATCATCAGGAACGATCATCTTTATGAGATCGTTTGCTATTTTAGATTCTGCCCTTCCCTTTCTTTGTTCTGTGGTTTCCTTCTTTCCCTCTGCCCTCTTCACCTGCGAACACGCGCGGTTCACTCGTCTTCATCGTTTCTTTCCCCTTCCCTTCCTTCCCCCTCCTTCACTATCAGGCGCGGTGAACCCATGACTTCACTCACATGTCTTGGATCCATGACATCGTCGCGACGCGCTGTTTTCTACAAAGTCTTCAAATGAAAACAGTACTTCCGTCTGCTTTTGTACACTGTCACAATGTGCCCCGTCTGTCTATAGTAGTGAGCTTTACGGACACTACCGTGCAAAAGTGGCCGCGATACGCCTACATCTACGCCTCATACCGATTTCTACCGCAGGGTGCGTGCCTGATCCAGCATCGCTGTGCAAGATAGGGCATGTGCATCATCGAAGAGTATACAGTCTCGTACCCTGACGTCCGACGAAGGCGGGTCCTTCAGCGGTGCCTCTTGGGAAGATCGTTTGGGTACTGCTATCGCACCCAGGTGGTCAGCCCTGGCGAGCGCGTCCCTGAGCGCCCCGCCAGTCAATTCCAATACGCTCAGCCTAGAACCGCCCATCGACCAGCCATGCGGTCTCTGCGCCATTTGATTGTCGATCCGCGGGAGCAGCCGGCGCGGAGGAGACGGTCCCCAAGCTATCCGCGACGGATGCCCTCACGACGGAGTGATCCTTTCCGAGTTTTCTTTCCGTTTCTTCGGCGGGCTTCTGACAGCGATGATGTATGGAAGGGCGACGAATATCGGCCGCGAGGTCGGGGACGATCGCCTCGGCCTGTCATTGTGACACCAGATGTACCGCCCATCAATCGTGAACCCCGGGGTATTCCAAGAAGACGGCCTCTAGGTTCGAAAATCAGGGTGGTCTCCCCACCATCAGAGCCTCTATACAAGGAGGAACCAATGCGACCACGCCGCGGAATGTCACCTGCTTCACCTTCTCTCTCACCCCGGAATCCAGGTACCATCCGTCATCCCGTCATTATTCATCAGGAGTCAAAGCCACGGCCAAGTCCGATCCCTTCTTCCAGCTCATCCGGATATCAGTTCAGAAATCCATGGCGCAATAGATCTCCATCTCCAGGTACATCCAACTGGCATCGCAAGGGACCACGGCCGAGTCTGTCTTCGTCTCCAGGACCACCGAAACCTCAGGAGGAGCCACAGCCACAACTATCACCAGTAGGAGTACCAAGTACTGATGCTCCAGCAGCACCTCTCACCCCACCCCGGAAGAGAGAGCGACGCCCCAGGGAGCGTTCCCCATCTATCGAGCGTGTACAAGTTCGCAAAACACGTTCTTCACCAACCGTTCCGGTGGAGGTGCACAACCCTCCAGCTCCAGACAGCAGTCCCAAACCGGTGCCAGCATCAAGCACCCCATCCCCAGGGAGTGGGCCCCGCCACGTGCAGTTTTCCGACATAGTGGACCACCTCTCCATATCCGGTGAGAGCAATGTGCCCTCTTCTCCGACCGGCCCTCCGCGCTTCTATAGACAGTTTGGCAGCGCAAGCCGCCGTAGGTCCCCGACTCCTGGACCTACCCCCAGACTAGGAGGAGGAAGAGGTCGCTCAAGCTCAGAAAGGATTAGATATGTGTATGCGTCTCCTTCTGCGAGTCGTTCATATCCCCCGGGCGTTGAGGTGCTGATTGTGACTCCGCGCAGGTATCGGCCGGAAGGAATCACCCCACCGCTGAGCCGGGCGACCGATATTTGCGAGGTTGAGCCTGGGAGAAGGAGTTCATCGTCTGGACGGGCTGCTAGGGGGGTTTTGGACGGGAGCGGTTTGCGGGTGGAGGGTCGGCGTAGACGTGGGATGGGAAGGGAGGAGCTGGGAAGAAGCGCGAGACCGAGGATCATATCGCTGTCACCACCCAGAGGGCGATGGAGACCGAGAGTGGGTGGGACTGAGCGGTATGGGGGGTTCGAGTCGGGAGATGGACGCGCCGTTAGGGATCAGGGTGGTTCGGCGCGTGTGTGGAGATGGCTGTGAGAGATGTGGATCATGGTGGAAGTTTGTAAGATGTTGTTGGTAGAGGAGACCTTTCGGATTATTTCTTATGTTTATTGTGTTGATTATCTTGATGAAAAAACATTTTCTGAGAACCCGATTAGAAATGATATGGCAATTAACTAGCTGAGACATGACGGAAAGCAAGCAAGCAAGCAGGATGAAGCTGGAGAAGCTCCCCACATGACTATCTCCACGTGACCCAAAGGGACCTCGGCAGCGGTTAGCGGCGGGCCGGCGGGCGGAGAAGAGGAAGAGGAAGAGGAGAAGGAATGCATGTGCATCTCATCCCATCTCTCCTCACTCTGCTGTACTACACATCTACCTGCCTTCTGCTTCTTCATCGCCGTCCTCATTACTATCACTCCATCCCTTACTCTTTTTCTCTTTTGATTCTTTGTCTAGCTACGATACCCACAATGCTTGCCTCTCGTCTCACCCCGCGGACCATCCCCGCACGCCAATGGCGTCGACACTTCAGCGTCGCCCGTCCAGCGCTGAAGGAGATCCAAGATGCCTACATTCTCAGCGCTGCGCGCACTCCTACAGCCAAGGCACGATCCCTTACACCCAACGTTCACAACCATACTAATCAGACTACAGTTCAACGGCTCCTTTGTCTCCGTCCCAGCCCCCCAACTCGGCGCCGTGGCGATCAAATCCGCCGTCAGCAAATCTAACCTCCCCACCGAAAAGATCACAGACGTGTACATGGGCAACGTCCTCCAAGGATCCGTAGGCCAAGCGCCCGCGCGTCAAGCCTCCATTTTCGCCGGCCTCGCTCCTACCGTCGAAGCCATGACCGTGAACAAAGTATGCGCGTCCGGATTGAAAGCCGTCGCTCTGGCCGCCCAGAACATCCAGCTGGGACTAGCAGAGGCGCAAGTGGCCGGTGGTATGGAGAACATGTCGCGTGTGCCATACTACATGCCACGTTCCAGTCAGTTGCCTCCTTTTGGGGAGATCAAGCTTGAAGATGGACTGATCAAGGACGGGCTGTGGGATGTGTACAACCAGATTCATATGGGTATTTGCGCGGAGCAGACGGCCAAGAAATACGAGGTATCACGGGAAGAACAGGATGAGTATGCGATCCGGTCGTACGAGCGGGCGCAGAAGGCCTGGGCTGAGGGTTTGTTTGGCGAGGAAATTGCCCCGGTGACGGTGAAGGGTAAGAAGGGGGACACGGTGGTCGAGAGGGACGAGGGCTTTGAGAACCTCAAGGCAGACAAGCTGCGCGGGTTGAAGCCCGCGTTCTTACGGGACGGCACCGGCACGGTCACGGCGGGTAATGCGTCCACGATGAACGATGGCGCCTCCGCCGTGGTGGTGGCTAGTCGCGAGCTGGCTAGGGAGTTTGGCACGGGCAATCGTGCGCTGGCGAGGATTGTCAGTACTGCTGATGCAGCTATTGACCCGGTTGATTTCCCCGTGGCCCCGGCCAAGGCAGTCCCGATTGCGCTAGAGCGCGCGGGCATCAGCAAGGAACAGGTTGCCGTGTGGGAGTTTAACGAGGCATTTGCGGCGGTGATCAAGGCTAACGAGAAGGTAAGTCATACTCTTCCTGGTAGTTGACGATAGGCTAATGAGATTAGATTCTTGGACTGCAAAACGCGCGTGTCAACCCGCTGGGCGGGGCCATCTCGCTGGGTCATGCACTGGGCAGCTCGGGCTCGCGCATCCTGGTGACGTTGCTGCACCAGCTGCAGCCAGGCGAGTACGGTGTGGCGGCCATCTGCAATGGCGGAGGAGCAGCTAGCGCGATGGTTGTGCAGAAGCTGGACCGAGTGGACTGAATTATAAGCACTGTACATATATGACTGACAGATTGATGCCCATGTTCATGCTAGCTAGCGGTCAATTGAACCCTGCAGAACAAACAACCTCTTAACCTAATAATGTCCTTGCACTGTCAACGTCCCCGTCTTAGTGACCAAATACTCATCCACAGCCACATCCTTTCCACTCTCCTTGCCATACCCACTCTCCTTCATGCCCCCAAACGGCGCCTCCGCCGCCGACATACTCCCCGTATTCAAGCCCACCATCCCCGCCTCCAGCTTCTCAAACAACCTCCACAAGCGATCCGCATCCTTAGTAAACGCATAACTCGCCAGTCCCATACTGGTATCATTCGCCCACTGCACCGCCTCATCCTCCGTATCAAAGGCATACAACGCCGCCACCGGCGCAAACGTCTCCTCGCGACTAACCAACATCTCCTTCTTCATCCCCGTCAGAATCGTCGGCTGGAAGAAATACCCCTTCTTCCCCTCCACCCTACCACCACCCAATATAACCTCTGCCCCCAGCCTCCTCGCATCCTCAATCTGCATCTCCGCCTTCCCCAAGCCCCTCTCCGTAGTCAACGGGCCCATCCCCACCCCTTCCTCCATTCCATGGCCCACGACCAACTTCTCCGTCCTCTCTCTCAACATCCCTGCAAACTTCTCATATACCCCCCTTTGCACATACACCCGATTCGCAGTAATACACGCCTGACCGGCATGCCTCCACTTCAAATTCATCAACGCCTTGACCGCCTCCTCCAAATCCGCATCGTCAAACACAATAAACGGACAATTCCCCCCGAGTTCCAACGTCACCTTCTTCAACCCGTCCGCACAAATCCCCGCAATCAGCTTCCCCACCCTCGTCGACCCCGTAAACGTCACCTTCTTCACCAACTCATGTCGACACAACGCCTCACTCAGTGACGGCGTATTCTCCATATCCGTCGTCAACACATTAATCACCCCCGCCGGAAACCCCGCCTTCATCGCTAACCCCGCTATAGCCAACGCACTCACCGGACTCTCCGGTGACGGCTTCACCACCATCGTACACCCCGCCGCGATCGCCGCCGCCACCTTCCGAAGCACCATAGCCACCGGGAAATTCCACGGCACTAGCGCCGCTGCTACCCCAATCGGCTGCTTGATCGTGAGCACCCGCCGGCCTGGCACTGCTGCCGAACTAATCGTGCCCGAGACCCGCTCGGCTTCGCCTGAGAACCATCGCGTGAACGACGTCGCGTAGTCGATTTCGCCGAGCGCTTCGGCGAGAGGTTTGCCTGTCTCGTGCGTGATGATTTTGGCCAGGTCGGTTTTGTGGGTCCGGATGAGACTGTCCCAGGCTGTGAGGAGTTGCGAGCGGTAGTGCGCCGTGGTGTGTCGGAAGCTGAGGAATGCCGTGTGTGCGGAGACGACGGCGTGGTCGGTGTCGGCTGCTGTGCAGGTTGGGATGAGGGCCCAGGGGAGGGAGGTGCCGGGGTCTGTTTGTTTGTTGTTAGTTGGATATCGGGGAGATCCCAGGGGGGGTGAGATTGGGATGGGGTTACCGATGACTTCAAAGTGTTGGTTGCTTTGGGATTTGATCCAGGTATTGTTGACGAAGGCGTCGAAGTGAAGGATGGAGGGGTCGGAGAGCTATACATATAGTAAGTACGACATGTTAGATAAGGGGGTTCAAGTAGGATATGGTGGATGCTGGGTTCGTACTTGGAATGGAAGCTCGTATTGCGCCATCTTGAGTGGGATCCGTTTACGATCAGATATTAGTTGATGTTGAGAAAAGTTATGTATGAGGGACGAGATGGATGGATATCAGGGGAGTATCACAATTAATAAGGATGTATGAAGAAGAGGGGAAGATAAGCAACCCCGCACCTCGGATGTCGGCAAGTTTATTACTACCACAAACTGCTATTGGATCACTCGTTATCGTCACGCTGATCATATTCTACTATATACATAACAACAACAGCTCGTCTACATAACAGCTGGTATCCACCTAGTGCAGGTACTCATTCACCACCGCCGTGAACGCCGCCGCGTTCTCCAGCATCGGTAAATGACCCGCCTTCGGCACCAACTTCAACTCGGAATCGCTCTTCAGATCCGCCACCATCTGCTGCATCGTCTTCGGCAGCACACCGTCACTCTCACCCGCCACAAACAGGCCCGGCACCTGCGCCTGCGCCATCCGGTCCCGCACATCATACGCACACAGTGCCTGCACGCTCTGTCTGAACCCGGGCAGACTGTTCGTCCGCACCAGCTCCTTCGCCTTGGCGGGCAGGTGGGGCTGAGTCTCATACGACTCGGCCGTGAACCACCGCCGCACGGTAATCTCGGCCAGTTGCTCTCCGACAATCGCCTGCTGCGTGGTAGCTGACACAGCACCCTCGCTGGCTGCCAGCTCGACGCGCTCGTTCCACGCCTTCCGGTTCGTCTCGGGGCTGGAGCTGTTGGTGTCGCAGGAGATGAAGCGCTCCACGCGCTCCGGGTACAGCAGGGAGGTGTTCAGCACCGTTACACCACCCAGACTGACACCGATAAGGGTGGCCTTGGGAACGCGCAGAGCGTCCAGCAGTGCGATGATGTCCGAGGCCAGGAGATCAATGTTGACGGGCTTATCGCCGCATTCTTGCTGGCGGCCACGGGTGCAGTAGCGGACAATGCGGAAGTTCTGGTTGCGAGGGTCAGAGAGGAACTGGTCGACGAAGTCATCCCAGATAGTGTAGTCCACCAGGATGGAGTTGCTGAGCACGATGACCGGGCTGTGGGGGTCTGTGCTGCCCTCCAAACGGTAGGGGAGCTCGACGCCGTCAGGGGTGGTGACAAAGGACTCGACGGCCGGGCGGGTGGGAGAAGGCAGGGTGCGGGTTTTGCCGTCGATAGACGACCAGGGACCGATGCAATCCGCAGAGGTCAGGGATGACAGCTCGCGGGGAGCGGGTCCGAAGGTGTAGGCCCACTGATAAGTGCGACGGCGGGCCTTAGCCACGACGTCGGTCATAATGCGGGTGCGCCAGGGGGTGTCTGTCGCAGCCTTGTATTCGGGACCGCCCAGACCATTCTGAGCAGCGTACTCGTGCACGGCCAAGTATTCGCGAGGGGCTTTAGGGTCGATGGTGGAGGTGACGAAGAGGCGGGAGGAACGCCAACCGGGCACGCGGGACAGCATGGGGATGTGCTCTTCGCGGTACCAGCGGGTGAAGTCGTCCTCTTTAGCGGCGTCGGCGGAGGAGAGGGAGAGGGAGACGGCGATGAGGGCGGAGCCGGCAGCCTCGGTATCGGGGGTAAGCTCGAGGGGTTTGTAATCAGCCGCCTTTTGCTCGAGAACGGTATCGTAGAGCCGGCGATCGACGTCAATCTGGGCCATGGTAGCCTTTTCCCGGGGGGTCTTGATAGTGTCGCCGCGCAGGGCGAGGTAGGTCTCGCGCGTCAACTCCACCATGTCGATGATATCGTAGAGGGCCACCCACTCGGGCTCCTCGCCGTCGGTCGCGCGATAGCGGAAGCCATTGGTGCAGAAGGGCAGACGCAGGCGCAGAGGGCCGTGTTCGGTGTTGTACCAGTCGTGGAATTGAGCGGCGGGGAGGGAGGGACGAGGGTTCATCGTCACCCAGAGAAGGCCGGGGGTCGCCATTTTGATGTTGAGTGAAGATACTGCCGAAATCGAGAGAAATGAAGCAATAGGAAAGGAATATGAGAGACCGGATCAACAATGAGGGGCAGATGGCGGGGTGACCCGCGATAATAATTATTATAACGAGGGCGTTCCGACTGACTGCCGACCACACAGCCGATGGCCGCCGGGTGAAGTCATCGGGTATATCTTTAAGTTCGGGTCTTCATTCCCCAGACACAGTTGGCGGGGAGCCACTGGTAGCCACTGGGGTTGGGGTTAGTTCATACTCCATCATGTCATGGTATGCAGATGGGATGTTCTCCAGACAGATTCAACTGGCAAGAGGAGCTCAATAATGGAAGAAAGGTGTGCTTTGTAAGAAATCAGCTGGGAATATGCTGTGCAGCCTGTGAGTTCAGGCAGGAATCTCGGCAGCCAGGAACTGCCGAGTCACCTGATATATTTGCCTTGCTCCTTGGTGCCTTATTGCCTTGTAGCCTGATTGATTACGCTTATGTCAGCCCAGCGCGGAGCTGCACCCCGGTATCGCCCTGGCAGCCAGGCGCTTGCTGCTACGGGTTAATTGTTTATACCATTCTTTACTCCATTTCCATCAGCTATATGGGCGATCAGATGGTTTGAGATACATGCAGGGGGGAGATGATGGGGTTGCCTCCGGGGGCGTGACCACCACCCTTCACATCAAATACCACACGAAATCGGAAGAGTATGACATGGTTTTTTGAGCGAATTGGATACTATCAGAACGACATAACCTTGATCAATGATGTTATGGGGATGTTTCGATGCTTTGAAGCTGGGGCTGTGTGGCTACTGGCTTGTCAACAATCAACCAAGCATTGGCCCAGCGATTACACCCAGGTCAGAGTAGGGTAACTGACCTCAATTTCTTCTATTACATGACAGTGAACATAGGTTGATATTCATCAGCAACGCACGAGTTTCTTTATTTAGTTTACTGGTAGGTAACCATTGGCGTTTCTGTGACAGTACTCAGGCTGCGCTTCTAGACCTCACAGAGTGTTCTCGCCTAGCAATTACCGATTTTCATGTTGGCCCATAGAAGGGGGAAATCGCACTGTAGGAAGATTCTACGAAGAAGAAGAAACGTTTGGAGCGACTGATCACCCGCGAATTTGCGTGGCGGGGACGATAATGCTGGGTGATTAGGCGGATATCCCATTCTCTTCTCTTTTGCAAGTAACCTAGAGTGTGTCGGCAGACGTTCTCTAACGCCTTGTTCAATCACTCTTCCAGTCCTGCTTTATGAGGTCCGCTGCTCTTTCCGCGAATGCGTACACAGTGGCTTGCAGATTCGCCGTGCTTACAAGCGGGATGGCACTCGCATCCACGACCCTCAGTCCTTCGATACCATGGACCTTCAAGTTGGAATCCACTACTCCGTCCTTTTCACGAGGCAGCATGGAACAGGTCCCCACAAAGTGCCACATAGAGACCAAATTATCCCGAGCATACTTTTTTGCAGCATCTAAGTCTCCCTGGAAGTCTGCAGCCAGGTCACGGAACTTCAGTGGCTGTTCGAGAAGCTCCCCAAGCTGAGGTGACTCTGCTAAGTTCTTGACACCGAGCAAGTGCCGTGCTATGACTTCCAGATCGAGAGGGTTTGACAGATAACCAGGATCAATAATTGGAGGGGTTCCGGGGTTGTTGGAAGTACTTGGGTTCGTTTTGTCAGATTTGATGAATATAGAGTTGGTAGGGGGTTGGAAGCTTGTGAAGAAGAAAATGCTAAAATTACTCACATATAAACGCTTCCGCGGGAAAGGGGTTGAGAGAGCATAACTCCAAGCGTGATTAACTTTCCAGGCGAAGCAGCTGGGATAGTCCCATCATTCAGGTCTTTGGAATAATTCGTCTGCCCTAACGCGGCTAGGTACGCAGCTGATGGTTGCTTGGAGTCAAGAATGGTGGTCTTCGCAATGTCATAATAAGCCTGTGTTGCCTTGTGTTGTTGTGAGTTATCGGGAGTGTCATCTGAAAGTAGTGCCTGAAGAGCACTTCTGTCAGGGTCAGGAAGAGACAAATAGGCGTAGGTGTAAACCCCGAGGGAAGCTAGGGGCCCAGATCCCGTGGCAGCGTATTCCTGCATTGCCAGACCGATGGCTTCAGGCTCTTGTCTGACCAAAGAGTCCTTAGTCTCGATCTCAGGCTTTGCTTGAAATGCGGTGTATGAGATCATATGATCTAGAAGTAGTAGATGTTAGTTCTCACTTCGAAGCGAGTATGCGTCAATAAGGAAGATGGTTCCACGTTATTTGTGACCGATGCTAGATCAGAAGCTCTTCACATACCCTGAAGATTCTGCCCAACTCCAGGAAGGTCCATGACAATATCGATGCCATGCTTCTCAAGAAGTTCTGCTCCACCGACTCCTGAAAGTTGGAGAATTTTGGGAGATTGAAAAGCGCCAGCAGCAAGTATAACTTCCTTCCTTGCCTGAAAAGTCTTTGAAACACCATCGTGACTGTATTGGACTCCAATAGCTCTGGGAGGCTTGCTTTCGTCAAACAGGATTTTCTCAACCAATGAGTTCGTAAGAACGTGAAGATTTTGTCGAAGCTCAACAGGCTTATAGTAGGCCGAGGTGGAGTTGCTTCTCTTGCCCTCCGAGTCGATACTAGCAAGGCAACTGAATGATCCTACGGAGCTGTGGATGAACGGATCCCCGGCGTTGTATTGCCCATTGTTACGGAACAGTTCGGCCCATGCCTTGCGAATAGGATGTGCCTCATTGCCAAAAGATGTTTGGATCGGACCTTTCGCTTCGTTCAACTTAGGCCAGCCCTCAATTGCCAGACCTTCTTTAGCATCCTGTGTCACAGTCGGACTGCTATAGGCCTTGGAGAAATAATTCCTTAGCATGGTCCAATTCCATCCGGGGTTACCGAGTGCCTCCCATGAGTCAATGACTCCCTTGAATGGAGGAACAAAGACGTGTGCATTTAATGAACTGGATCCTCCGAGTGTCTTGCCCTGGTTAAGACCAAGCACTCTGCCGTTGAGGCCTGGCTGCAAAAGCAATGGGTAAGCCCACACTCTTTATTAAGATAGACGGTCATTACCTGAGGGGAAGATTTGAACTTCCAATCGGCGTCGGATCCAAGCAGTGCGGCATAGAAGATGGGAATGTTAACGCGGGGATCTGCTGTCAAGTCGGCGCCTGCTTCGAGAACTAGGACAGAAGTGTTGGGGTCCTCGCTGAGTCGAGAAGCAACAACCAGGCCAGCCGTACCGCCACCAATGATGACAAAGTCATATACAGTGGCCATTTTGTACTGTGTGCAGACTTAGTAAAGGATTGGACGAGGTAGGAAAATGGAGCTGCGAGCGTAGCAATTAAGTCATTTGTTAGAATGAGCAGGAATACCCCTGGACTGGGGAAATATATATTGTTACTAATCGGATTACCTTCCAATACTAACAAAATAGTGGACAAAGAAACAGGCTTCGATCAATACCACCCAATGAGAGTACTACATGCAAATGCTATTGAAATCGCTCCACAAATGCCAGTTTTACCCCGCCCGAAAGTACTTTTGCTAGTCTATCGATCGAGTCACTCAATGCAGTTTAGCCTGAGTGTAATTGTTATGGTGTACTTAAGTCATCTTACCAGCTTCTGCTCCACTCTAATTTCATATATTATTTACGTAATGTAAAATCAAGGGTTAGAATGATTATTGCGGTCTTTGTCGAAATTGGAGAATGGAGGACTGTCCTGAAGTTTACATAGGTTTAAACTTTAAGAATTAAACCTAGAGTACTCATAGTCTAGTGAAAGGGACTCTAGGAGAAAAATGAGAACGGATATTAGAAGTGCATCCGGGAAACCTTATATCAGCCTTAGAGATCGTAGGTCTTTGGATTGTGATACGAACACTGACAAGGCTAATGGCCTGATAAAAAGGCATCAGTGTACAAAACGGCCTTAAATATCGGCGGTGAGGTCTCATTTCTGACTAGATGTATTCCAGCGGTCTTAGGTTACAATGAAATATTATTCTTGAGCTTAGAATTGAAAGGCTTTACTAGCGGCTGGAAATTAGAGCCTCTTAATGTTAGAATCCTTGGTTCATTTGTAAGCTAATGAGAATTAGTAGTTTTGCTGCCCGAAAGCGAAGCTTAGAAGACCTTTAGATTGATACAATGATAGTATTGTTTCGGTAATGGTTCTCAGTCCTGTATTCACACCGTCACATACGTGTTCCCAAAATCTCAGCCTCGTCCAGGCGACCAGAGTATCCTGTGGCTCCCAACAATCACGGCCTTTATTTGGCGGAATGCATTTTGGCCCCGCTCAGGCAACGTTTGAACAGTCGAGGCTTCTCCCGGCCGGTTCAGCACGAACTAGACGGGTCGTGAATCCAGAAATCTGACACGGATCTGTTATCTGGCCTGCGAAGCCGCAGGGGATCATGCCGTGAGATGGAGCAAGTCCTTACAGTACCTTCCTCTTCGATCATCGTACCTTCCTGCTAAGCTATATTAATGGTAGTGCCGCACTCTAGTCCCACTTAGGCCATAGGCTAAACCTCTAAAGTAGTAGTAATAGCCAGTCATATGATCCTGTAATCAAGTAATTCACTTATCAGAAAGATATACGTACAAATTATCTGCCCTAGCTCTCTAATTTCTACCAGCAACCCCACCTAGAGCCTCCCGACTCCTCCAAAGCACCCCCCCCCCCCCCCGGAGAACCCCCGTAGAGGGCCCCGCATACACCTGGTACAATTACTGGTAGAATTGCCTGTTGTATTAATAGACATAATCTCATATGGAGACATTTAAATGGGGTCTCTACAGAGGATCTTCAGAATATCTGTTGAGAGAGTGTGAGGGAAAAGGCCTCCGGGAGAAAATCTCTGAAAAGAGACCTTTGTGGAAGAACTCCCCGGGGAATTCCGGGAAATCCAAGAAAAGGATTTACTAGCATATAGTGTAATTACTAGCATCAGGAGCAAGTACTTGAACGAGCGATCTAAACAGATATTAGTTTCCTTTCCCAATATGTTTAGTTAAAGTATAGGTCTGCTGAGGTCAGCCATCCTGGCTAAATCCTAACTTGATCTCGCAGAGGGATTAAATTAACTGGGTTCTTTTAGTCTTTGATTTCAAGGCTGCCGAGGTCGAGTTGTGTCGGGCTTTTGACATGGGTCCTGACACACCTATTACTTTTGAACTACTTGTGTATGACTGTCCAAAGATATATATTTCCAATGTATAATGCAAGAATATGAAGTGGGCTTCGACAATAAAGACAAAATGAAAACATGTTTGGTTTTCCGGCCAGTTACAGAATTATCTAACACTTGTTATACAAATCTATATCTAAAGAATTCGCGCTTGTCATGAAGATACACAGTATGTTGGGGGCTGGGTTAGATGGGATCGGCGCCCGTGCCTCCCGTAGGTGTGCCCGAGTGAGTTGTCTGTGCCCAGCGGGCGGGTGGACCGGCCGGTTCGGTCAGTCCCGGAGAGTTTGTTGAGCTTTGGAATATTGTTCTCGCAAGTTTGTCACCAATATTTCATTCTCCTTGCTCACGTTCAGTATTCTCGTAACAAGGCGCCAAATAAATTGGCGACTGGATACATCACCGACTTCATGTTGAAACGGGATTGCTCCGGCAGTTCAGCCAGGTCGAACTTGATCCTGCCCCTGACCAAAGCCATGAACACGTAGGCCTCAAATCCATTGGGACAGACGCTAAAGATGCTGGCCGAAGGAAACAAATATGCCTCATTTGAGTCAGCGGGCAAGGACACGAGTGTCAGAAGGAACAAAACATGTTGGGAGCAGGTGCTTGGATGAAGAACAGATCAGGATGGACTCGCAGGCAGCTGGTTGACTGGCTGCGACCCTCGTTTATATTTCCACATTGTGTATGAATCTGCTGTGCTTTTGTTGTAAATCTGGCTTCCTCGTCTGCGGCGACGACCTCCCTGTGTTGCAACTTGCATTATTCCTGGTTTCAAAGTGTTTATTTCGGGTTTGAGGGATTTGCTGGCGTTCGGGACCATATTCTCTGCTTGAAACGGCGAGCCACCTCCATGGCTAGTATCTAAATAGCCGGTTCAATCAGTGGTAATAATTTAAATGAATTGATCGCATGTGGAGGCTGCTCAACGCGAGGCCGCATCACTAGGGAAGTATGGCTATATCTATTGCGGCTCTTGGTCTCTGAACGGGGACAATCCCACCCGATAAGCTATGACTGGCTGAGTCCTCAGCCCTATTAGCTATATTGAGAATCAGTTATCTAGCGTCGGATTTACTAGGGGCCTCTCTTCTGTATGTAATGCCTGGTCAGCAAGTTAATATAAAGTCTAGCAGCATGGTTTAGTATGACTTCTGGATCACTTTCAGCTGAGTCTTCTAGGATTTGCAGGTGTAACTAAAGACACCATATCATGTACTACAAAAGATACAGCAGATATCCTTCTATCATCTTTGAGAAGATACTACTTGTCAGTCAATTTATAGCCCTCCGACATATACAGGCAGGATACTTCAGCAAAACCAACATATATATGTCTATTAGTAGTAACTAGAATATTCCAAATACTGTAGAATATTTTGGTTCCGGTTATAGAACGAATCGGAGTGAAGAATAAGACAAACGACAAGCAACAAACGGAAAACCCCCCGAATCAACTGTAAAAACCCTCCGACTTAAACCCCCCGACTAAAACCCCCCGAAGGTTGAACCCTCCGACTCGGCATTCATCGGCGTCATATTTACCGGTGTTTTCGGCGTTTCGGCGATTGAGTTGAACCCCCCGGCACAATGCCGAGCACTGAACAGCATCCGGAGGGAACGGCGACAAGGGTTTCGGCGTTTAGGAGTTCCCTTCAGGTCCAAGGGTTTGTTTTCGCCGTGCGATCGGAGGGTTTTTGGCTTAGAAAGCATAAGTCGGAAAATGCGATTGGACATGATTGAGATGATCACATATTCGGTATTGCTTATGAGTAGTATTAGGTGAACTAGTTAACTTTCCGAAGTGATCGATCTTCGATTGACCTTCGATTGGAGTCCGATCATAATAGATCGGAATATTATAGTACTATCTCTTGGTCCGGTTAATCTTGCTTTGGGGCATTCCAATGTCGGCCACGGATGAGCGGGAAGGGAATTGTGCAAGAGGGTCTATTTTGTCCATGTTGAATGTTATTCGATGGAAATGAAGATTGTCAAGGGTATAAATATAAATGTAGTTTATTTTTTATCCCTAGTTATCAAATGATTGAAGTGTCTATGAACAATCGTTTGACTTCATCGTTCTATAACCTGATGGCGGGTTCCTTTGGGTAGAAGAGCATATCCAAGGCCTTTTGCGGACTCGGGCCCCTCACTCATCTCCCGACCGATAGACTTGGGCATGCTCAGGTTAAGCTACCATCGCAGGGCCGGAGGAGTGTGCTTATTGTGGGTGTTTGAATTAAGTACTTTCACTTATTAGTTTGATAACATTCCATCTGTTTTAGCAATTCGATATTGCTGCTGTAGCAGTGATTTCTTCTTCCCAGAGCAACCAAATTTCGTAACTATCATGGTGGTATGGATGTGTTATGGAAATGACGTTTCTAGTAGCGAAATCAAGTATCTTCGTTTCCATGACAATGTTAGTGGATTGACAAAGTCAGTGAACCTAGGACCCTGAAAGCTGGGACATGGGTTCCACTAACCATGACTAGCCAATTAAAGCCAGTTAGATTATATCTAACTCAGAAACATGTATCAGATACTAATATTTCACAGACAGAATTGTACGGTGAGAACACGACAGCACCATGCGTGGGGATCCGAATAAAAATAGCCGGTTCGGCAAGCTTGACCCGGACAAGCCTTCGCTAACTTCTTGGCTATCCACGGCCAGACAGCCAGAGTAGCTGGTACCATTCAGTTAGTGCCAACCTTGACGGCAATTGATGAACGCTGAACGGCTGTTCGCTGCTGCGCCACAACTTGGTGTGCTGCTGCTGCCTAGTCCCCTCTTTTCTTCCGAAGATCCTGGACTTTTCCCGATCGCTCGTGAACTTTTGACTGCACCCCATGCGGCGACAGTCCGTGTCCCACGAGAGTGCACCGCAGCTATGGCATTTCAAGGCTCACGCGATCAATCTGAACAAGGGGAGCCGTCTTCTTCCCGTTCCATCGCTAAGTACTCTCCTTTAGAGATGGTTCCTGAGGTCGACTCCGATCAGGATGAGTCCCCCCTTGAAGTCCTGCCTCTGAATAACTTTGGCCCCAAACGTCGGCGGCGGCGAACGACGACTCGAGTGCAACGCAGCAGGCTGCGCAGCCTATGTAGTTTCTGGAAATGCCGCCATCTGTATTGTCACATTCACCCGTACTCGCGACGAGCCATGACTTGCCGATTTGTAAAGCGTCCCTTCTGGGGCGCAGTGATCGTGCTGTGAGTGTTGATTTGCTCAACAACGGTATTGACTGCTGCTAATTCCATTAAGCGGCCTCCTAAAACTCGCCTCTATCTTTTGGTCTGGTTTGGTCTACCTCTTTCCAGACGACCTTGACGCCCGCCTCGACGCCTGGGTCTTCCCCGCCGGTCGCCCATCCATATTCTCACATTGGACCACCCACGGCGTCGTCCCCGTGCGATGCCACTCACACAACGATTATTGGCGCGACGTACCGCTCCATTCGGCCCTCAGCGCAGGCTGCATTGGCGTTGAAGCCGACGTCTGGTCATCCGATAATGACTTGCTGGTCGGACATACTCCCTTCACACTGCACCACGAAGTCACTCTCCGCAGTCTGTACCTAAACCCTTTGTTGGACCTACTCCAGAAGCACAACACCCGCTCGAGCCAACTCGAGCCCGCGCACCTTCCCGGCAGCTTCCGCGCCGGTGTATTCTCCAGCGACCCATCACAAACCCTGGTCCTGCTCATCGACTTCAAGGAGCAGCCTGAGGCCACCTGGTCCATGGTGATGGAGCAGCTCCAACCCCTCCGTGACGGCGACTACCTCACCTATTTCAACGGTACAGACATTATCACCCGGCCCATCACAGTCGTTGCTACCGGCGATGCGCCCTTCGATCGCATCACATCGAATCAAACATACCGAGACATCTTCTACGACGCCCCGCTTGACCAGCTCGCCCTCCTTCCACCAAGCACCGGACGACCCGATCAGCCGGATCCAGAAACAGAGCCTACCTACTCGTACAAGAACAGCTACTATGCCTCTGTCGACTTCCGCAAGACTATCGGCAGTCTATCCCGCAATCGCTTCTCGCAGGGACAGCTGGAGCTGATTCGGAAGCAGGTTGAAGCTGCGCACGCGCGTGATTTGAAGGTGCGGTACTGGGGAACCCCGAGCTGGCCACGTGGTCTGCGGAACCATGTTTGGCATGTTTTGGTGCGGGAGGGGGTGGATTTAATCAATGTAGATGATTTGAGAGAAGCCACGAGGCAGGATTGGAGGAAGCATCGGAGTTGGTTCTTTTGATGGCTCGTGGGTGAAGTAGCATGGTTGTGTGTGCAAGTATATGTCAGCGACGAAGTCATGGATATATGGATGTAACTTGCTTAATAATATAAATAATTTACAGTACCTAGGTTTATAATAAATTTTTAAAAGTCTTTATAAGCCTGGAAAAAATCAATCTAATTATTATTAGTATTGTTCTATCTGTCTACGACTTAGAAGCTTATGGAATCTAAATTAAGGCTTCTCAATACTTGCACGTCGGAGCTGATTGATTGAGGAAGATAATGGTTTAGAAAGATTTGGATGTCTGCATGCTTTATAATTATTTTCTGCTGTGCATCGCTGACAAGCCTTAAACTTGGCAGATACATAGTATGGTGCTTCCGGAATTCGTGGAATACCAAGTGGAGTGTCAGCACTTACTGCAACCGAAGTAACTACATATATATATATATATATATATATACTCTTTTCTCTGAATAATAAAATATACTTGTCAATTCCTAGGATCACTTCTCTATTCCTGTTATCTTAGCTTTACTAGTATATGTACAGCTGAAGCAAGTTAAAAATGTATCAGGCTAAGATATTTCTAAGATATAACTAGTCTTAGATAAGAGGAGAGAAGTAAATCTGTATAATATCACACAGCTATTTATAAGTAAATATAAGTAAGTATTCTGTAGTTAAGCTTCCAAGTATATTATTATTTAAAGATAGTATTAATAAGTATAAAGAACAGAATTATCAAAGTACATGGAAAGAGCATTCTTATATTCTATTCTCTTTATATACCAGATTGTATACTCCTTGGAGTATATCCTGAAGTATATCCTATCACCGTGCGCGGTCCCGTATAGTCAAGTGTATGCTTCTGAAGGTATAGCAATCCGCAGCTCTTCTGATTCTGAACTTCTACCGGCTAAGAGTTGCTAATTGCTGCTCGGGTATTACCTTCATCAGCGCTTTCTAGCCGAGGAGTCCGCCTTACTAGTGAGTTAACTAGCAGGGGTCTGTAACACCAGTTCGAAGGGATGTCAAGCAGCGAGTAGGCGATGGCAAAGAGCGTGAGCGTGACTGAGTACCCAGCATCCGTCAAGTCGGTTTGCTGCTCGAGTGAGTCGCCCGTCTCTGCGTTGAGGACACAAGGCATAGCCGATGTTGGAGCGGTCGAGGTAGTTGAGGAGATAAATGAACGCACAGGAAGGGAGGAGTCGCCTGTGAATTTCCTGAAGGAGCTGTCAGTGGCGCGTGGTGATGTGCTCCACATCCGAGGCGCCAAGTAGAACATATTCAATGTGGTGGGCTTTGCCGATCGATTTATCTTCCATAGCTGCCAGCTCTCAATAACAGAATGAAAGTTGACTAGACTCATCGACATTGGGCTGGGCGGCTTTATACGCCGTTGCGGGACCCCGCATTAACGCTACTGACAGGTACTGCCCCGAGAGATAGCTTAGATCTCGTGCGAATGTTTCATGGCTACATGTGAAGAAAGAGATATTCACCTAGCAAGGTTACCTCAAATCCTGCCGGACCCCTGTCTGACAGTCCGTTGACTGAGCTTGGATATCATAGTGTAGGAAAAGTATATCCCGCGGGATTAGGGGCCTCATGACACGACATAGCGCCGTCACCATATGACTGAACGTTGTGAGAAGCCTAGTCATCATGGGGATATTGACCTATCCATCCGACAACCAGTTAAGGTCACACATTGATTGAGGGAATGTTCTTAATTGGGTAATTGCAGCTATAGAAAAGGAATCATGTATGGAGGCCTCGGCTATATCATGATTTCTACTTATTTCCTTCGAAATTGCCCGATGCAACAGCGGCAGAATACCCGTTAAACTCACCAGTTTCCAGCAGAATATGCGGAATCCCGTCCTCGGTAAGCGAGGCAAACGTCTTCTTCTTTCTCGCCTCCCAACCGATCTTGCGCAGACGATTCGCCCGGTTCCGCGCATTGGACCCAATCACTAGCCCAGAGCATTATCTAAACAAATCAATATAACTATCCTGTGGGATAGTTTGCGGGGTCTGATCGGCGACCTTGCCGGCGCTTTGCAGGATCCGGCCAATTTCCGCCGCACACTCTCCACGAAAGCTCCTCGCCGTTCTCGCAGAATACGTACGGGTTTTCTGCAACTGTCGGAGCGGGATTCTCTTCGAGCCAGTGCAGAAGAGTGACATAGCTGCGGGCAAGATCTTTGATATGCACCTGGTTGCGTACGGCAAGTTCGTCGCCGATCATCCCAGGGGTACCTGTGCTTGATGGAGCAGCGGACCATGGTCGGCAGCTGGATAGAAAGGCGCTTCTCGCGAGAGCTGACGCCCTAGATGACGGGCGGGACCATGATTACAAGCTTGGAGTTGCGTGAGAGCTCAGCCATTTTGCCAGCGCGGACAATCGCAAGATCAATTGCGCGATGCGCGGCCGAGGCTGGAAGGGCGTCGATTGAGGCTGGTTCGTTGTAATCATAGATGAAGTCGGTGTAGCTGTCTTCAGCATTGTACCGATGAGACTCGCGCCTGCGGATGTAGATTGTCTTGTGGCCCGCCTGCGAGCGCTACCGAATTCCTGCCAGCACGGCCTCGAAGGAGGGGAGATCGTCGGCGGTGGCGGTGTGAATGACAATGTCGCTTGCGGCGGTCTGAGCGGCAATTACATCCTTGTCGGCCAGAGTCCCCAGCACAGTCTGCACACCCAGATCGTGAAAGGCCTGGCGGGCAGACTCCCTCTGCAGCAGCGTGGAGATTTGCTACGTCTTTTCCTGGATCGAGCGCCTACCCGCCGATAAGACCAGGGCCAATGAGGAAGATGGAAGTCATGGTATCGAGGGGAAATAACAATTGTGGAAGCCAAGTCTGATTTAATTATCCCAACCGGCATCTATAGTCTGGCGAGTGGAGCCCTGCCGGCTATATGCTCCTCCAAAAGGATCGGATGAATTAACAATCACGGCTTACGAAAGCCTAGGTTACTCACAAACGTCCCATCATGGTCCGAAGCCTACAACAACGAAATATACACGGATTTGACCTCCGTCCAGGCCAGGAGTCCCTCCTCACCCAGTTCCCGCCCGGTTCCGGACCCTTTGTACCCGCCCAGGGGCAGGTCTTGGCAGTAGTACGGCGATGTCGTGTTGACGCCCACAGAGCCTGCCTCAAAGCTCTTGGCGACCCTGATGGCTCGGGTAATGTCGCGCGTGAAGACGCTGGCATAGAGGCCATATTCGGAGGCGTTAGCGGCACGGATCACCTCGTCCTCACTGGTGAAGGTGTTAAGGCAGGATACGGTGCTACGGATGAAGAGTCAGGAAACGATTGCACAAACAGATGAACAGGAAGACAGCTTTTACGAACCCGAAAATTTCGCCTTTCATCAGAACATGACTCTCTGGCACATCCTGGAAGATGACGGGAGCAACAAAGTTGTTGCCTTCCTCCGGCGCGGTCCCAATAGAAAACTTTTTCAGTCTATCCTCCTGCGCCTTTCGGAGGTACTCGGACACGTTCTTGAACTGCTGTGCGTCCGCCTGGGGCCCGAACCGAGTTTCTTTCTTGAGCGGGTTACCGGCCTGACCTGAGAGCTGCCGGATAGCCTGGACATACAGCTGGGTAAATTCGGTGACGATACTCTCCTGCACGTAGACCCGCGAAGAAGCCATGCAGACCTGCCCGGAATTGGAGACAATGGAAAAGGCCGCCAAGGCAGCGGCCTTTTCGAGGTCGGCATCCTCGAACACGAGAAGGGGGCTCTTTCCACTGTTTCAATTTCATGGCCGCAATCAGCTTCACTACCTCCCTGACAGTTGGAGAGAATTAGTGGCTCAGCTTACCCTAGTTCTAGCGTGCATGACTTGAGGTTTGAATCTACCGCCGCCTTCTGGATAAGCTTCCCCGTATCCTTGCTCCCCGTAAAGGCAATCTTGCGGATGTCCATGTGCCGCGCAATGGCATCTCCGCAGGGCAGACCGAATCCAGACAGGATGTTTAGCACTCCAGGCGGGAAGCCGGCCTCATGGGCCAGTTTGGCGAACAGGATTGAGGTCAACGGCGCCTTTTCGGATGACTTTAACACAAGTGTATTGCCTGCGATGAGTGCGGGGCCGACTTTGAAGCAGATCATAATCATTGGGACGCTGGTAATCAGGTAATCAGTCAAGGGGAAGAGGCAGAACATATAGGAAAACTGACTTCCAGGGGATAATAGCGCCTGTAACGCCGTAGGGCTGGCGAATCGATAAGTTCAAGTGGTCTTTAGATGTCAGCGAGGTGACGCCATGAACGTCCAGGGCTTTCCCTGCATAGTCTATGGTAGTAACCGAGGTTAGATAACAGTTTATTCCGCGCCTAGTTCTACACAGAACATACATCGCAGTGTTGCCCCGCCTAGGGATTGGTCCATGTACGTAGACACCGGTTTTCCCATGCACATGGCCTCCAATCGGGCGAATTCCTCGGCATTTTCATCCATCAGATCAGCCAAGCGCAGCATGAGACGGCGACGTTCGGATCCTGGAGATAGCGGTAATGATTAGGCCAGCGCAAAGAGTTAGAATGAAGATTGGCCATAAACCTACCATCGACCTCTGACCAGAAGGGAAACGCCTTTTTGGCACTCTCTACTGCGCGATCAACGTCATTTGCCCGACCCTCGTACACTTGCGCGACAACGTCGCCGCTATAAGGATTGACCACGTCGAACTTGGCGCCGTCGATTGATGGCACAAATTTGCCATCAATAAAAAGGCGGGTCTCGATGTCGGTTGATGCCATGGTGCGTGTCACAAAGAATACGACTGATCGACGCTGGGTACAAAAAAGGGCAGTTCCTGAGCTGCCGCACAAAAGACGCTTTATATCTGCGAGAGGATCATCGTGCCAGCATCAGCCTACCCGATCGGATCTCAACTGGATCCGAAACCATTCACAACTGTGTCCTGTGACCAATGTCGACCCCGCAGAAGCTCGGTCGTCCTGCTCGGATGCGGGATGCAACTTGTGCTGTGGGAAATAGGGTTGGCGGAGTGTAATTTCAATTTCAAGTAATACCCGATCTTTTGACAAGATTTCTTGTACCGATTTTCTGGGTTGTAAGGGTATAAAACACGCTAGACTTTACATAGTTCTTATATGCTAGTCTATTTTATCCAATTAGGGCTTATAATTTGAGTCCACTATTATCACGTAATTCTTTTGAAATTGTGACGCTTTTTTCGAGTGAAATTTCAATTTTACAGTAATGGCTTCCAAAAATTGTAATTATACCATCTCTACTGGGGGACCCATGTTGCCGATTAACCTCCACACACCCCACGCCCTCTTCCCCCAACCGTGCTTAGCCAATTCCACAAAAGGGTGAGACATGCATCACCCCCAATTTTCCTCTCCCGAGTAGCGCAAAGTTGATGGTAAGCATCCGTTGAGGGTCGCCGATCGATGCTTCGTCGGAAGGGAAAGTTTTGGTTAAAAGACATTGTTATTTCCTCCTGCCTAGGGAAAACTTGGCCCATGAAGCCCTGACGAGAACCACCCTGAAGACTAATATACCCACGTGCAGCTTAGTCTAACTGGAAATGACCTATCCTACAGAAGCATTACTCGTGTCCAAGATGGGGGCCAAACCACAATTCGCTCCTGTGGTTCTGGATGCCATTCGCGATGACGAAGTCCTGGTCGAGGTCCATGCTACAGGCGTCTGCCACACGGACATTGCCTGCATCGAGGGAAAGCTCCCCGCTGCCTACCCGTGCGTGCTCGGGCACGAAGGTGAGAGACGTGCATCCTTCCCTCTAACTAAGGAGCAAGCAATATGCAACACAGACAAGCACGACTAGGATATAAGAAAAAGAAAAAAGAGAGAAAGAAAGAAAAAATTGTGGTATCTGTCAAGCTATATATCTAACATGCCTCGCCAGGAGCCGGTGTTGTCCTCGAGACCGGACGAACCATTACAGATATTAGCCGTGGCGACAAGGTCCTGCTAAGCTACAACTTTTGCGGCAGCTGCTCGCAGTGCCACGCAGGCCACCCAGCCTACTGCGAGAACATGCTCGCACTCAACTTTGGCGGAAAGCGCCTCGACGGCACCAGGACTATGCAGTTAGCCAGCGACACAGCCACGTCCACGGAAGGGACAAACGACGCAGACAAAGACGCCATCTTTGCCAATTTCTTCGGGCAAAGCTCGTTTTCCCGCATCGCACTCGTCTCGCGCGCTTGTGTCAGTGTCGTCGCCCCTGATACCCCCCTTGCTCTCTTTGCCCCGCTTGGTTGCGGCCTCCAGACCGGTGCGGGAGCGGTCTTGAACACACTCGATGTCCGCGAGGGGAGTACAGTCGCTGTCTTCGGTGTCGGTGCTGTGGGCCTCAGCGCAATCATGGCTGCCGCGCGACTGCGCAAGGCGCGCACGGTGATTGCCGTCGATCTGGATGTGAAGCGGCTGGCCATTGCGACAGAGCTGGGTGCTACGCATACGGTGTTGGCCGGATGCAAGGATGGTGAGGATGTGTTGCAGCAGATCCGGGATATCTCTGCGCCAGCGAACGGTGTCGCGTATGCGGTTGACTGCTCCGGGGTACCTGAAGTCGTTGAGACGATGTTGGATGCCTTGGGCACGCGCGGGCGCGCGGCGAGTGTGGGTGCGCCAGCCCCTGGGAAGAGGGCAGGTGTCGATGTCTTTGGCCATTTGACCAAGGGGAAGGAGTATGTGGGATGCCATCAGGGCAGCTCTGTTTCTAACGAGGTATTTTGTTCATTATTTCTTCTACCAGTCCCTCATTTTCTCTTTCTTATGGTTAACAGCACGCATACATACACGCACTTGTACGAATCTAATTATTCAAACGCTGACATGTGTTTCGCAGATGCTTCCCTATCTACTCGAGCAGCACAGGAAGGGCGAGTTCCCGCTGGAAAGGATAATTACATGCTATCCCGTTGAGGAATATCAACGTGCGCTGGATGATTTGAAGTGTGGGCGGGCAATTAAAGCTGTCCTAAGATGGAAGAATTAATTTGTCTATAGCTGAACTCTACTTGAATAGATTTTTTGAATTTAGTACCGCAGCAACGCCCACCACTGCTGACAAAATGGAGAATTTCCTGATTTCGAACATATAGCCGCGGGAATCGGCGTGAGAGGCATACAGCCCTTCCGACGCCACTTCCGACGGGATAACCCTTGTTCACAAACCTCAATTAGCCGGTGAATCCCAATCATAACGTAAGCGGCAAGCGAGTCGGCCATGTAAGTACAGCGGCTAATAGCAGCCATCGGGCAAATACGATTTTTAGTGTTTACTACTAGAAGAACTACGGATTGCTACAAGCCTACAGCATGCAGGCGCTGGCAGGCTGCGGCATACGGCCCTCGGGTGGAGGGTCCAGACCCGGGACAGCCGCATATCACGTGATTATCTACTATCCGGACTACCACTGATGGTATACTCAAGGCATATCATTGGATCGACCATCAATATACCTCGGGTGGCATACAATTTGGTATACAAAGAATAGAATATATAAAGAACAATCTCTCATGTACTTAGATAATTCTATTTTTTATATTTAATAATACTGATTTAAAGTAATTATATATTTGAAAGCTTAGCTACTGAATACTCATCGGTATTAATAAATAGCTCTATAATATTATACAGTCTTCTCTTCTTTGCCTAAGACCAGTTATTTCTTAGATATATATTAGTCTTTTATCTCTTTGCGCAGTTCAACAGTATATATATCAGTGAAACTAAGCTAACAGGGACAGAGAAGCAATTCTAGAGATTGACAAGTATATTTTATTATTCAGAGAAAAGAGTAAATATATAGAAAATAAGTAATACAGATCTTATCAGATTTATATTCGGTCAGTCTAGCTGCTCTACTTTAATGAATTTTAGAAGGGTCTGTTCAGAATACTAATGGTACTCCTGATTTAATCTAAAGATAACTAAATGGATTGAATAAAGCAGTAATAGTCAATCTAGCATGCTCAGTGACCATTATTATACACCTTCTGTTTTATGTATCTATATCATTACTTTTTTCCCCTAGAAATTCGTTGGGTCCGGTACCCGGCTGCTCTTTCTTCACCTCGTCCACCCTCCTTCACCTGAACTTTCACCTGTGCCACCTGAACACCATCAAATGGCACCCAGAGCCCTGCCTTTGCCTTGTGATCTCAAAGATGAATTAAATGTTCTGCATGGCCTGGTAATTGCCCTTCATCGTACAAACCAGAAGGAAAAACACGAAGGCCGTGTAGATGCCTTGTGGCGGGGATAACGTTGCATTTTGTTGGGGCATTGACAGTACGGCGTTGGGAGGACTAGAATCTCGAATATGGCGGTCAAGGAATTACGATCCCAGGAAATCGCTTCGCGTATTTAGGAGATGGATTCGTTTTAGAGACCTTTGATCCATTCACAGACTCCTCCCGGCGTATTAATCTCCATAGATAGATAAGCGATAAAAGCGGCCAGTCTAGGGACTAAGAGGACTTGATTTTCGCAAGAAGTGGCCCGCATACCCTCCTTGTCAACGTCGCTTTTTCATAAGCATAGCCCTCAAAAGAAAAGGCACCTTTATTGTCTATACGCCCAACTCATGCTAGCTTTCATGGCACTAACTCGGAGCCCTGGTGTAGCCATGTCCAAATTGTATACTGCTAATGAAGCAAGAAGAGGGAGACATCAGCAATCAGCAAACCAAGACGTTAAGGTATATACGCCAAATGGGAACTGGAAAGAAGTCATGGTACAGCTCTTCAAGCAACAGTTCGTTCTATCGTGAGCTTCCCTTTTTTATCGAGAAAGCTAAACTAGTCACAACAAACTGGCATACCTTCCTTCCGAACGGTTGAGTCCATAGTGTTGGGAACGTTCGACTGTCTCAGACCAAAAGAAAGCCCCCATTTGTTTCTATGGTAGAGCCAGTGATGAAGTGATCCTTCATTATGTAAATGTAGGCTTCAGCGACGTCTTCGGGTCTCCCAAGCCGCCCAATGGTTGTCTGACTTTCCAAGGCTTCAAGTAGCCCGTCCTGAGAGCGTCCAGCCCTGTCTAACATCTCAGTGTGCACAGCACCAACTGCAACCAAGTTCACCCTAAAAGGTTTTAGATCCACCGCCAGGCCCCTCACCAGCCCCTCTAACCCTGCCGTATATGCACCGGCAATGGCAAAATTTGGAGGAGGACGCTGCGATCCTGCTCCCCCCGTAAATGTGATCGAACTTTCCGGACCGGGTTGGAGGAAACGCGAACAAAGTTTAGCGAGAATGATTGGAGCGAAGAATCGCACGACTCCAGCGGCATAAACTTGATCAATCACGATTTGGGAGACGTGACCGAGATGGAGATCGTTGCCAGAAGTGAAGACAATGTGGTCGATCTTAGATGACTCTGTGGCGGTGGTCAGGATCGACATGAGATTCTCCTCTAGCTTCTCCGTCACGGAAAGGTCACACGTCTTGCCCTTCAATCGGTTGCTTGCCGTTGGGTATGCTGCAAGCAAATTCTCCAAGGCAGAAGCGAGTTTCGTCGAATTTGAACTGGAGATGAAGACGCTCGCACCCTGCTCGAGAGCGGCTTCTGCAACACAGAAACCAATGCCGGAAGTACCACCGAATACCATAATATGCTTTCCCGCCAATTTTGAAGCGTACTTTCTCGCGTCCATCTTGTAACTGGAAAGATATGAGGATATCTAGAAGTAATGTATGTCTCCTAGAGTAACGTCTTGAACGTGACCTCAATTTTATAAATGCCTGGCTTTAATAGATGCGATTTGAAACGTTGACTTGTCCCGGACCGGCTACCCGCTTTCCCGAAATCCGAGAAACCGACGCCCACCTCTGATGGAAATAGCCGTACCCGTCCAATGCAGTGCGTGGAGGGAAGCAGACTTGCCACATGCAGGAGCCTTCGCGACATTCTTTCCGTATCGGTGCTAGTAAGAATTTAAGATTTCTTTCCCCTCGGAATATCCGAGGTTGCCACCGGACAGTAGTCTATAAGTTAAGACAAGTTAAAGAGGTCCGATACTCCGCAGACTGCCTTTCCTACATTTAGTGTTATATGTCCCGGAAGAAGCTCCCTGTCTGAACCGCGTCGAAGATTCACTTTAATCAACCATCGCGTAAAGTAGCAACCTTGTACTCAGCATCACGACTGAACTGACGTTTGGCAGTGTGAACATGTCTATCGACCTAAGGCAGAAAATGAGTCGGTTTGTCGAGTTCATCAACTCGAATGATGAAACAGTTGGCAAAGAAGTCGTCTCCGAATCAGCTGAATTCCATGTCCCATTCAGCGACACACCTCTGAAGGGACTAGCTGGCTACATGCAGATTCTCGGAATCATGCGGGGTGCTTATCCTGATATTCACTGGTCACTCAATGAGACGGTTGTCGAAGGGAACAAGTTGGTGGCACAGTTCACCATACGCGGCACTCACGAGGGGGAGTTCTTTGGCATACCGGCATCAGGAAAGCAGATTAATACATTTGCAATGAACATGTACCGATTTGAAGATGGAAAAATTGTTGAAGAGCGGGGACTTCCGGACTTGTTCGGAATGATGGTTCAAATTGGTGCGATCCAACCTCCTCAGCCCCGCTAGCTTGAAATTTACTTCTATCGCCTTTTGAGTTGGGCTAAATGTCAGTGATTAAATGAGACAGACGATATGTCTTCGCTAGTATTTCTCCTATAGTCAAACGTAAAAGAAGGGGGGCTAGTTATAATATAGTTCACCATCCACTCCATGTACAACCTATTGAGACTCAACGTACAAAGCCAAATAAGACACTGAGCACACACCCGAAACACGTCATATTTGAGATACCTTCCTAAAACCTTGCCTTCTGCCCTGGAACCGGTAGGACTCGCATGTCTCGCATGTCTTCCGACCGAATCGCTGGGGAAAAGATTGCAGAACCGTGAAGTGATCAAGCACTCGCGATAATCTCTGCCGCAACTCGCTCACCAGAGCGGATGGCCCCATCCATATACCCAGTCCAGTAAGGAGCAGTCTCAGTGCCAGCAAAGTGTATTTTGCCGGCAGGGTTCCGTAAGAAAGGGCCATACTTCGAGAGAACACCGGGAGGGCAATAAGCAACAGGGCCACCGCGTGAAAACTCCTCGAGATCCCATCGCTGTAACAGTATCTGGCTGACATTGGCCGCCTGGGGTCCAAAAAAGTTGATCAGATCCCTTGTGACGAGCCTTCTGATTTTGGCCTCCGAGACACCGTCAAGAGCGCGCATCTCATCGGCTTCAATAAAACCCATGATGGCACCAAAACGCTCACTAGCTGGGGTGTTATCATACGTAGCTCGTATAATACCGGTATCACTCTGCACCTGTCCGTTGAACCCTAGGTTCCTCCACCAAGGTTCAGGATAGATCGCGATGGCTTTCCCGATGGAGCCCATGGGCATGCGCTGAGTAAGCTGATCCCGGCCCGCGGGGAGTAATGGATCATAGGAGATTCGGCTTGCCATCGGAGGGGACATGGCAATGACGACATGTTTGGCCGATACCTTGACCTTGTCAGATATGACATTGTAACGGCCATCCTTAAGCTTAACATCCAATACTGGCGAATTCAGCAATATGTTTGCTGCCCCAAGTCTCTCCACCAGTCTCGTCGCCAACAGTTGAGTGCCGCCATTAACGCGACTATCCTGAGCAGCCCCCTTGCTACCGATAAGCCGGGTAATGGTCCCATTGTTTGTTTGGTTCCCTGCAGCGGCTATATACGACAGCATGTAAAGTAGTGACGGCTCCTCCGTCTCCGTGGAAAGGATGGATCGAATGGCAGTGTCGAAAAGTAACTGTGAATCTTGTAGACTGATGCGAGATTCAACGAAGGATTTCAGTGTCATGCTATCCCACAATGAAGCATTGGCATGATTCCAGGGAGAATTGACATCTAATTGGCTCGCCAAAGCGTCAAGTTCGGTTATGAGGCTCGCCAGCTCTTCCTGGGATTCCGAGCTCACGGGAGGCAGACCACCCGTGCCAAGATCCGCGTCGTAAGGAATAACAGTGCTGTTTCGGTATAGAATTGCTTTGCCGGCCGTGTATGTTGGGTATGTTGTCAGGCCAAGTTCCGCTGCAAGAGCGAGCACACGGTCCTGGGTTGGTCCAACGAACTCGGCACCAAGCTCCTGGACCTCGCCATTGTCAAGGTGCGCATTGAGTACGCGGCCACCCACGCGAGAACGCGCTTCAAAGATAACAAAGGTCTTGCCTGCCTTTGCAATGTCCTTGGCTGCAGATAATCCTGACAAGCCGGCGCCGACGATAGCAACATCGACGTCTCGAGCGCTCGCTAGGGACGCCATGAGGATGGGGATTATTGCAATGGAAAACGGCAGATGCATTCTGTGATTTGCTAGCAAAGTTCTTGATTACACAAGATAGCGTCAATAACGTGAGCGTGAGAAGATAGAGAATAGCGGTACTGTTGGTCCTGCGAACATCAGCTTTATATGTCGAGCACAAACAGTTCTCTTGTGTTACACTTTCTTTATCCCGCACGCGCTGGTCACAGAACAGGTGTCACTATGCTGCTGCCTTCAGCGGAAATCTCGAATACCCGACATCCGAAGCTTGATACAAGAGCGAGGCTGAGACCGCTCCTAAGGTAGTAACAATGCCGCGAAATTTGGTCTTGGAGGTGCTTGCCGAACTTGCTAATCTACCTAATTCTTATTTACCATATTACAGTAGAGAATTTTATGTAATAGGTATTAACAATTAGACCCTGGAGGATATGCCATTCGTGTGTCCACTCCAGCCATAGAATCTAGATCCGCAAGTTTCAGCCGATAGAACCCCGCTCAGTGCCCTAGTCCCGACCCAGTAAAAACCACGCGAGATCTGCGCACTGGACGATTCATCAACTGGGGCTGATTGGTAAGGCTGCGGCTTTTCCGACAGCTAGGAATCATTTCTCCTGCAACATACCGGGGTTCAAAATGTAGAAAAAGGTGACTTATGGTAGGTTTTATGGGCTCATCATACAGAGAAGTAACCTGATAGATAAATATAGCTTTCCGTTATGCGATTCTCACTTTTCCAATACATAAAGTATCGATTTTCCCACACAAAAATTTGTTGTACTTTACATCGTCTTCGTACTGCCACTCCTCTTCAGCTTCAGCGGTGATCTATGTCAAGGATGACAGAAGGCTCATTTGATGGAACTTGCCATGCTTATATTGCAGGAATTTCGACTCCTTACGACTATGTGCCTTCCTTGGCTGCAGGAATAGTTTTCTGTGCGCTTTTTGGAATTTCTATGATGGCACATGCTTTTCAATCCTTCAGGAGCCGAATGTGGTGGTGCTACCTCTTCTCCATTGGATGTCTGGGTAAGCATCTGCTCCTTGAATGTTCTCATATATACGCAAGGAAAAGGTCTCTTCATCTGACAGTTCCTTCTACGTTCCCCTAGCGGAGGTTATTGGATGGGCCGCTCGGACATGGTCTGCCTTGTGCCCTTATAACATGGAACCATTCAAGATTCAGATTGCCACATTGATCATAGGTATAATATGAAATATGCACAGCACTTGATGTTCCATATATGATTCTTACAGTGTTTCTAATGCGACTTTCTTTAGCACCCACTTTCTTTACCGCTGGAATCTATATCATACTGGGCCGACTGATACGGTTTTTCGGAACGGAATCGTCTCTGCTTAGCCCTCGGATGTACCTTTGGATTTTCTGCACCTGCGATCTAATATCGTTGATTGTTCAAGCGGCTGGTGGTGCCCTTGCCTCAGCGGCCCTCTCGGACCCAAATGGAGATACAAAGCCGGGAACGAATATAATGGTAGCGGGCATAATCTTCCAAATGGCAGCAATCACAGTGTTCACCATTTGTGCCGCTGACTTCTTGCGCCGCGTCGTCCGTCATAAGTTGCTTTATATGATGACAAGAGAAGTCAAATGGCTGGTGATTGCTACTGCTGCTTCCGTGGCATTCATCTATATCCGAAGTATTTATCGAACCGTTGAGCTGCTGCAGGGTTGGAGTGGATACCTTATCACGCATGAGAAGTATTTTATCGCTTTCGATGGCGCTATGATGGTTGCAACAGTGACAGTGTTCAACGTTTTCCATCCCGCTTGGCTGCTACCGATTGAGAATTCTCTGACATAATATGGGTCCATAAACGAGGCCTTTGCATCAACCAGTCAGGAATTGCACGCAATTGCACGTGACACCTAGAGACTTCTGGCGTGCTTACTATGCTTTGCTTCTAGACCCAGGCATGTGCAATGATAGGTTAGGGTCCGTCATGGGGACACTCGTTGTAATCCGGTCGTCAAGATGGTGGTTTTGGCTTGCTATTTAGAATTTTCTGTATATTACTGAGAGAGGGGATAGAGTACAAAGAAGAATCGCTGGTTAGATATTTTATAAAGTCTATTGAGGTCAACAAAGACTGATCCCCGCGACATCTTCGCCTAAATTATCTGTCACAAGTGTCACTAAATAAGACAACAACCTACTACACTGAATGACCGGGGATCCAAAGAGCAGGAGCGGTTTCACGTTTCCTACGATTCGACAATGAGGTTAACCTGCCAACAAAGGTGCCACGAACACTGCAAGGTACTGAACATTGAAGAGGTCCAGATGGTTCTCGAGTCCCGGAGGCTTCGCCTCAGCTTAACACATGAAGTGGAAATCTTTCTTCGCAACATTTCGTGCTATCCCAGAGGAAGAGGTCTCTTGTCATAACTACAGCGTTAGCAATGTTGGCACAGAGGTCCGATCATTGGTAGTAATTGGAGAGTGGCGATGCCTGGGCATCATCCAATCAATAGCCTTCTAGTACTATCTGGTGGGGTGAGCTGCGGAGCCAGTTTGGCCTGACACTGACAGAGTTTAACTGGTCCAATAAATGAATCCGAGACTCTCAGGGCTCAATGATTGGGCATAGAGTTTTTCCCTATACCATATTCGGAAAATATGTCGCGACGGCCGCCCGGGCACGGGTGGTCTCCTTAACTTACCTGGACTCAGACGGGAGAGAAGGCAGCCTGCTCAGCCTAGCCTCCTCCTGGACGGACGACACCATCTGACTTCCCCCTTAAGCCTAGGCAAACCTGTCTGGGAGGTGTGGGAATGAGAAAGTGATCTTCCTTACATTACCCTCTCTCACAAGCAAGGGACCCCTGAGCCTTTTGTCTCGCTGCTCACGTCTTCCCGATTCCGTTCATAATGCCCTGTGGATCCAACGACGGCCGCTGGGGAGGCCATCGATGTTTACGCTGTCGCATGGTGCATGTAAAAGTAGGCGATGATCGCGTACAGATTGTTCATCTCCGATTAACGACTCACTAACCCAAGGATGAGGATTAGTGCGATGGCCGCCGACCATGTCGACGCTGCGCCCAACGAGGCTATATCTGTTGTTCTCCGGAAAAGCCTGCTAATGTAGTTTTCGTCTCTTGTCCTGCACGATCAACAGTTGTTCCACCACAAGTATTCTTACCTACAGATCCGTGCATGTTTAGCAACGTATTCTTCAATGCTATACGTTGTTCTCTGTCACCACTGGTATCTGTTTTTTCGTTCGACTCTATCGGCGCCATACTTGATGAAAGCAAGCTAGTCCAGGATGTGGTATTCCTAGTCGGGAAGACATATCTGCTGCATATGTCCCATCGAAGAACATATGATCTACGAGAGTCGCTGCATCGTCTCCAGCACCAAGCGCTTAATGAGCTTAACATGCCAGACACTAAAGTCATGACGGCGGGTCTTGTATCGTCTTGTCTCTTAAGCCTCGTCGAGGTAAGTCTTTGCCGTCACAATCCTGCTCCTATAAGACTGACAGGGCAGCAGCTAATCTTGGATGGGAGCGCCAAGGGCTGGCGATCGCTTACTGGCAAGATAGAAAGATTGATCTCAATGTACACTGATACTACGCAGACGCTGCCACATCTAGGAAGGTCGTTTTATTGGTTCGCACGGATTAGTATTGCTGCCAGGGCCGTCTGTTTTGGTGAGAGCCTATCTATGCCACCGTCAGCTCTGACTTGTGCGAGGTCAGACATGCCTTCTGGGAATCCTTTGCCCTCCGGTGTAGAGGAGAATATAGCACTACTGGCCATGCACCTTGAATCATGGGCTCAGTTACAAAGCCGGTACGGTGGAGAATAGTGGATAGGGTACCATTGCTCATTGCTTATTATCTAACAGGGTAATATGCTGGATCAAGGACAGTGAAGAGCTGTATTTAAAGGAAAATCGCACTGAGACGGATATAAACAGTCGCCCCCTATTTCGGAAAGAATACAGCAATCTGCCGTTCGACCATATTATGCGCGGTATGGAAATTGTCTGTTGTGCTTCTCAACTCCAACGTGCCATTATCGCCACTGTTCTTTCATGTACCGATTCTCCGTTGTCTTCCGTTGAGCCATCAATACTATCTTTGCTTCCATATTACCAATGGTCACTTGCTGGCTTATCACGACAATTTGTCCATCCGGCCTGGACCTCCCTCGGCTGTTGTCTTCCTATGATGCCTGAAGATCTTATATACCAACAAGCAATGCAGGCATTTGCATATGCTGAAGGAAGCTTGCACAATAGCGCGGATTTTGAAGGTCTTTTATATGTCCCTATAATGAATATTGTTGGTCTTGAGATGAAAACAGCACAAGAAAGAACTCGGGCTCTTGACTTCCTGACAAGCCTGAAGACAAAAGGCTTTGCTGTGGCAGGTAAGGTCGAGCAAGATCTGAAGAAAGCGTGGATAGGGCAGGCATAGAAGGTCATGGGTAGTGAGGCATCTGTGGACTGTCGGACTATGTGGCGACCCCGAATGTGGAGTGTATTTTTATGGGACGCATCAGATACATTGTATTCTAGCTCGCTGGGCCATGTTAAATAAACATATGCTTCGGATAACTCTAAACTAGTCACTTCCTATTTGTTGATACAATACCGAGCCTTAAGCATTGCCGTCGGGAGTTTGGCCACCAATCATGACCTTGTCACACCTGGCAGTTGGCAGGCCCTTCCGCCTCGTATTTACCCGATTTGGAGATGACTCGGCCAAGACCCTGATGAACTTCTGCCTGGAATGGCCCAAAGGGAATCCTCTCTCCATCGATGCTGATACAACCATCGTGCTGGTTCCGGGGCATGACTCTGTACGCTGAAATTTTTCTGTAGTTGACATAAGAATTGTCCAAAAAATTGGGAGAACGAGTTTGTGACATAACGCGTAATGCAGTCACTGGAGACAGATCACCATCTATAGTAATGAGGTCGAGAAGTCCGTCTGTCATAACAGAGGCCGGAAAAATGTTGACATTTGGTGACATGTACGCCATCTGCAGAGGAGTATGAGACCTTGGATGAATCACGGAGACGCCTACAACACTTACGTTACCTGCGTAAAATGTACCCATTCTATCACCAGGAACCAACTTCCATCCTTCCGGTAGAGAGTCTCGGACTGTTCCATACTTGAGTTTCGGCAGGCCATATTCGGTGGCGGGCTTAGCACCCCCCGTGGGTATCCTGGCGAGACTAGTATCGTTGGTGTACCTGCTATGATGGGCTTTAATGCTAGCCTTGTCCTCAATTTCAACCTTGAGAGCCACATCACAAGGATAGCATTTTCGTTTCAAGATACGCGTCATCACCCCAAACTCAAATCGAGCGCTTCCCATCCATCGGAATTGCTCAGTGTCGAGGTCACTCTCCGCCGTGATTCCAATAGTCTGAGATAAGAAAGAAAGGATCCGCCTTTCACCATAGGTAACTGATATGAGGTCAATGGGTGCCACAATGCCTTTAACAATAGATAAGGCCGCCATTGATGCCCGATGGGAACCGTATAAGTTGCAGGAAAATGCGTTGCCAGACCCACAAGGTATATGACTCACGGGCATGCACGCGAGTGCATGGCCGGCGTCAGGGCGATTGCCTAATCCGTTAAAGATTTCGTGCACAGTCCCATCACCCGAGCAAGCAAGAATTGTGTCATACTTTCTCAAATCAACCTTTTCAGCCAACTCGGCGGCTTCACCGCCCCGACCAAGGACCACTACATGAAGCTCCATCCTTGCAGCATCAAAGATGGGTTTTACTTCATTCTTCCAGAGGCGCAGGGCGCTTCCTGGGCCTGATTTCGGGTTAAGCAAAGCATAGACACACTTACGGGATTTGGCTTCTCTATAAGCTCTAGCCAATAGGACACGGCAAAAGGTGGCGGCAAATGATCCACCTGGCCCTTCCGAATCGTTAGGAGCAAGACGAAAGATCAGGTTGCTAGGTTCGACCAGAGATTTGGAGGTATGCTCAACAAAATCAACCGTAATCTCGTTGTTTGCGACTTCGGCCCAAAGGATGTCGTAGAGGGGAATGGACTTCGTCTTCGCAAATGCTAGAGTCAAGTTAACAAAGACCCACCTGAAGGGTCGGGGCACACTGTGAAGTATAGGTTACCAGATAACAGGGTGATACACGATCTTTGCGCTAGTTTGCTCCCAATAGCCCCTGATCACAATCAACAACCACGCACGCATCACTGTAATATGACAAAGATTTTGAAGACTTCGTACGAACCATGAAGCTCCATATTATCGGCGCCAATTGTGAGCGTGCTATCTCCCTCAAGGTCCAGGCGGGTCTCTGCTATGTCAGCAACGCATCTGTGAGCTCAGATCTCGTCATTATGCGAAAAGTTCATGTAGACACTCGTACCAGAAAGGGACATCTCAGTCATGGTTGAAGGCCTGAAAAAGATTACGTTTTTATTCCTGATCTGTGCTGGAGCCTGGGAAGGAATGGAAAGGTAGACTTTAGTGATGTAGGAAGCAAAATGTGACAAGAGAAAAGCAATCGCTCTGACATATTAAGCTAAAATAAATAAATAAGAGAAACAGGCAGAAGGCAGAAGATATAATGGAAGGCTGGATGAGACTGGGTCTCATTGCCGATTGGCTAGGTATCAGCTGTCTGGGACTGGAAATTACCACGCGAGAAAAGGGGTGAACCCTCCTCGACCACTTGCTGTACTCGCTGCCCCCATTAGCATCCAGATTCAGACCTAACCTACATTGCCCCTAACTGGGCTGGAACGTTCACAAATGAGAGTATCAAAGAATCTTTCAATATTTTTATCTATGAAACTCCAGCTGATAAACAAATGATTGAATATCATAATAATTTCTCTATACATCGGCTACAATTTCCAAGCTATTGGTCTTATACTTATGTGAAGACCTACTTGTCAGGGTATGCAACCTGCTGATTGGGTAAGGAATCTATATGAAACCCCATAGACTACTAATTAATTGATAAGGTAGCCTGTATCCACGTAGGAGTCTGATACTTAGGGCAATAGGAGTAGTAACCAGCATAATCACTATAATATAAAGTAGGGAATACTATGAGTTGTAAACACTTTCAATCCGTTCCGTCGTCCCAAGGCACCCTATATTCTTTTCCATGATCTTTTTGACACCGCTGATTGGTTGTTTTGTGAGGTGCGAATGTTACAGCCCGAGTTGACTGAACGTACGAGGATCCGTCCTCTTGGAAGATCACGTTCAACATCAACGGCTCCACGAAGATTCCAAGATTCATGACTAGCATTCAAATAAATGACAGTACAGGACTAGTTGAAATTCTCTGTGAACACTGCCACAAAAGATTCCGGAGAAATCTTGTAGTTCACATGCCCGCCTGGGATTGTGATAGGCTTCTCTCCCAGCCGATCGGCAATTATTGAAGCTGGCGCCACACCTCGGCCAACGGAGTCCACACCCACAGTCATAATAACCTTTTCTCTGACAGCAACAATTGAATCCATAGGGATGACTGCACTCGTGTATTGCCTCAGCTCGAATTCAAACCACCAAAGACTGTTGGCGCGGATTTCATCCCCCTGGCTTGTCGAAATGGAAGATCGCATGATTTCGGCCTCTTTGCTATCGGAAAACCCGGAACTAAAGACTTCCATTGCGCTCAGAGGTCCCTCCTTGCGATAAAGGTTGTAGATGTGCTGAATAAATTCGGTTGCCTGCTGACGAAGATCGTCTGGAAGCACCGTGAACGCAGGCGGTTCGTGTACGATTGCTGCCTTGACCACTTCTGAGTGTCGGCTTAGCAACGTCAGAGTCACAATCGCACCAGATGAAGTTCCAAAGACATAAGCAGCCTCCGAACTAAGGTGGGAAATCAAACGCGCAGCATCATCCGCGTCTGTCTCGAGGCGGGATTGAAGACTTTGTGGACCACGCAACAGGCTTTTAGAGTACCCACGGCGGTCCCAACACACGACAGAGAACTTATCGGATGCAGCTTTTGCTACCTCGTGGAATACAGATCCACGTCCATCCGCACCTGGTATGCAAAGCAAGAGAGGACCGCTTCCAAAAACCTCGTAATAGATGGAGGCTCCGGGGACATCAAGAGAAGGCATGATGGATATAAAGAGTACAGCCGTAGGTTCTCAGATCGAGGGCAGGCGCCAGGGGTGGAGAGCAAAGAAGTATAGATGATTAACATAAAATAATCCAAACTTAAGATTATGATTATCATAGGCGCGGTCATTCATGATTAATATACTGGTCTCTCAAGCTACCCTGCCGCCCGGTTTGTGCCACTGGGACAGTGTTTGTTTCCTTTGCGCCCTTTGCACTTCCAATACTCAAGTTAGTAGAAGTATTTCAGGGTACTTTCCAAAATGACTGATACTGGCCCCGTATGGATCCACCTGCTCCATCGGCTTTGTACGTATTCCAGGAAGTCCTGCCGTGTTTGTTTGCTTTCCAACTTTTGCATTCTTCCGCCGGTGACTCCAGTTCGCCACCTTCGTGTTGTTTCGGAAGTCATGGCTTGGTGACACTGTATGGTCCTTTCCCAAGTGTCCGATGTTACTTCCGAATGCGACTTCCCGGTGATGCAATCTTACTACGAGCACATTAAGCCCCGCATCTGCTTGACCCACACCTTTGTTTGTCTGTTTTGGCCGGTTTGCGCTCCTTCACTTCAGATAAATGACTAACTTGTTAGGGTACCTTCCAAATGTCCCGCGTGCCGATATAGCCGCAACGAGTAGTCCTATTTAATCCTTCTTCAAACAACGCAAGGACATACCAGTGAGACATCATCATTTAGTACGTGTCTTCTTCAATAATCTGCTTACATTGAGTGAGAGTTTCGGAAATCTGTGAATTGATTTTATCATGCCGCCCTCAGCTTCTAGGATTGATGTCCATCACCACTATTTGCCTCCAATCTATGTTCAAGGTAGGCGACAAGCGGCAACAACGAGAAAATGGCATCAGCTAATGGTTGATGTAATAGCACTGGAGGCAGCCGGTGGCGATCCCTCTGGTTGGAAAACCCCCGAATGGTCTCTCGAAAGTGACAGGGTCTTGTGCCAGAAGCATAACATTCGTACTGCAATCCTTTCTGTTACAGCCCCCGGACCCGACATCGCGGAGGGATTGGAGGCGGCCAGAATAGCAAGGGGGTGTAACGAGTGGGCAGCAAGTCTCAGAAATCAGAACCCTCAACATTACGGCTTCTTCGCAACCATTCCATCTCCGCTGAAAGACATGAGACTTGCGTTGTCGGAAGTGTCATACGCTCTAGATCAGCTAAATGCGGATGGCGTAACTCTATTTACAAGCTATGGAAGAAATGGGCACTATCTTGGTCATGAAGCATTTAGACCATTATGGGCGGAACTCGACAAGCGAAGGGCTGTTGTATTTATTCATCCTGCAGCGGGGGTAGGAATCGGCCCGAACAATCCGGTCTTACCTGCGCCTATGATTGAATACCCGCACGAAACAACTCGCTGCGCTGTTGACCTTATCACCTCCAGGGTACTCCAGCAACACCCGAATTGCAAAGTTATCCTCTGTCATTCCGGCGGCACACTTCCCTTCATTGCTACTCGGCCAGCAGTTCTTCTATCACACGCGGAGCTTTCGACAATGACCCCTGAAGAGTTTCTTGCCGAGGCCCGGAAATTCTACTTTGACGTCGCACAGAGCAGTTCCGAGGCGATACAGTTTCTGCTGAAATTCGCAGATCCTGACCGCATTCTTTACGGCAGCGACTTCCCTTACTGCCCACCCAAAACCATCGATTTTTTTACCAACGAGCTTGATTCATCGGGCCTAACTGAAGAGCAGCTGTTGAAAGTGAATGTTGGTAATTCATCAGCGTTGTTCCCTCGTTTTCAATAGAGAAGTTTGGGGTTCTATCCGCCGTCGTGAATTCTTTTGTTAGAACGAGATTATGTTTACGTGCAATTGCAATCCTCGTACTGCATATATAAATAGAATTTCGATAGTGACCTAAGCGCCTCTAATTTGCAACTTATATTTGTAAATGGGCCTACAGTATTAGCCATTCACAATACCAAACTAGCAGGCAGGTGCCGCGGCTTATGGAGCTGCTAGAGATTGCCAAATTGGATTGTTCTATTATATTGACCGGACGGGGGTAGTCTGTAGTATTCAGCATGAAACAAAACGCAGCATATTGGTTGATAAGCTTGCTAGACCATAAGATAAACGCGGAACGTCAAGATGCATATAATGAATAGAATACCTCCATGTGGTTGTATCATTTTGTACTGTGGCACAATGTAAGGAACAGGTTTACCGGTTGGACTACGTAAGTTTACCCCTGGGCGCCAACAGAGTCGTTGTGGTGTGTCATCGGCTATATAATTTCATTATTATTACCGCGGCAATATGTCGATGGCCGCGGTTAGTACCGCAACGGGTTACAAATAATAGTAATAGTCGGTAATTAGATACCCTCTGCTACACCTGAGACTCGGGCCGGACAAACCTGGAGGGTGTTGTTCAGAGAACCTACCTGTTCAAACAAACGAAACGAGATGGTCAAAGAAGCACCGCATAACATGCATGGTACATAAACCAAATCCGTAGAGCAAGCAGGAAAGCCAACTGATATTTTTAAACTTATCAATCTCCTGCGAAAACTATCATGGGCCAAGTTTCACATATCATCCTTGCTCCAATTCAAGCACGATGTCAGTCCTTAACTGTACGAGCTGTTGGCACCCGGGGAAATAAACCTCATTCCCTCGCAAATTAACCATATAGGTGATCAACACGATTTGTTCGTTGTTGGGAAAGCGCATTCGCCCCCAACTCGGAGAAGCCATGCATTGTTTCAAGTAAAAGAGGGAATACTCATGCTCTATGGAGGGACTTGATGTATGATGTAGGCTATTCTCTCGTTCCCTTCCATGTCGTGTGTTAGAAAAGTACTTATATTACTTGGAACCGCAGAATGATCACACACGTTCATTGTTAGTGTTCCGGTCAGTCGAGGATCGAAATTATTACACAAAGGAGAACCCAAATCGTCTTGCTTTCGCTGCCACTCTCGGCCCGATCGTAAGCCAAATGTCGGTAGTAGGCATCGGAGATGGTTCCTTTTAAAAAAAAAAAAATAAAAATAAAAATAACATAGGTCTATCCGTGGGTGTAAGGCAAATAAATCTTGCTCCTGTACCAAATAGTATTCGTCAGATCCCAGCCGGTTATACTCGAAGATATGTGCACATATGCTTTGTTTTACTTGAGAACTTTTCCTGATTGTGGATATTGTCGACGTTCTCAAGGGTACTGGTGTTTTGGTCTCTCATGAAAGTACTCTGGATCCTAGAAATTTATGTAGGCTCAAACGGTAGGCATTCTTAGCAGAGGACTAACTAGTAGTAGTTTTCTGTGACTTTACTGTATCGTACGTACCGGTTTATAATATGAATTTAGTTATCTTTGTCAGCTTTATTTGTAAGCTGACCCGGAATTTAAGCTCGGAAGCTTAAATAGATTATGATTGAGAAGTGCGGGGGCAAGAGAAATCACATCCTCGACATTTGTTACCACCTCAGAATACGTACTCTACCCTCACATCCTTTTCCCTTCACATCGTTACTCTGTAGTCACCTACAGTGCACGGATTGCAACCTTTACCACCTTAACCTGCGCAGACATGGCCTCCCCAGCGGGTGGCAGAGCCCGATTGCGCGCTTCCAAGGCATGTCAAAGGTGTAGCCGCCGTAAGGTCAAATGTGATGCTACACAAGTTGGCTGCCCATGCAGTCGCTGCCGTATGGATAATCTATCCGACTGTACGTTGACCAACTCCCGCAGAGGCACTTATGACCGAATGAATGCCCGCCTGTCTGAGGCGGAATCCCGACTCCGGGCCGCCGCAACTTCTTTATCATCACCTCCGCGGCGTCTGCATCCGGATCAGACAGACCCACCGCTGGACTCGGCAGGTGCAGCTAGCGCTCCTAGTCAAGCTGCGGTTACCAGAGAAGATGGAGCATTTAACATCGCTCCAACGAATTTGCAGGACTCGTCTAAAGATACAGGCCAATCAAGCGAGGCCACTCCGGCCATAGACCTGGACCTAGACCTGGGTATTCCCCCTGATGCTGCACCCTCCACCCAGTCTGCCACATCCACAAGCTACCGATCGCTGTCATCCATGTTTGAGGATTTTCTTGGTCAGAGAGGGCACGAAGGTGTATGCAAGGCAAAGCTAGTACTCTTTGATGAACCGTCGCCCTTGACATTTGCTCTGCATCTACGTAAGGACATGGATTCAAGCCTCCATGATGCCAGCCAGCATGTCTTGAACAGCGATTCGCTTACTGTGATTGAGGAGAATGTGCATCCCAAGCACCTTTCCCCCCATGATCTTGAGTATTTAAAGGCAAGAGGTGTATTTATTTTCCCCGAAACAAGAATGTTGGAAGAGATAATCACTGTCTTCCTCGATCGGTTCTATCCTCTCTACTCCGTTGTGAATCCCAAAGAACTACGGAAGGCACAGCAGGAGCAGAAGATTCCGTGGATCTTACTCCATTCAATCTGCTTTATAGCAATGACCTTCTGCGAGCCTGCTATGATTTACAAGGCCGGATTCAGTTCTCGTGCGGATGCACGTCAGCTTTATTATGACCAAGCTAAGGCCCTTTTCGATCTGAACTATGAAAATAATAAGATTATATTGGTCAAGGTCGCGATTCTACTCAGTTTCAGGGGTCCTCAGATGGATTGCTATTGGAATCCATGCTCATGGATTGAGTTTGGGGTGACGATGGCTGTGGCTCTGGGCATGCACCGCAAGTCTATTCCTAATAATGAAGCTTCTAATGATCGAGGCTTACTCAGACGGTTATGGTGGACATTGGCTATCCGTGATGCCCATTGCTCCGCCCTGCTGGGACGTCCATTCCGAATCAATATCAGCCAATGCGATATTGATATGTTAACATTGGATGACTTTCCTGGACACTCCCACCCCAACTCATCGTCTACATCCCAACCAATCTGTGACTGCTGTGAGTCGTTCGAGTACCAGGTACAAGTTGCAAAGCTTTCACTTGTTCTACGAAATATCATGCACTTTCGCTTCGGGCCCATCAGTGAGTTCCCGGAGATCGTGGGTATTCAGGAGCAATTATCCAGCTGGAAGGCCCAGCTCCCAGCAGCTTTACAATGCGTGTCCGGACAGTTACCCATGTCGATAACAGCAGTGCACCTCAACATTCTGCTCAACTACCATATTATGCTTCTATATATGGATCGGCCATGGCAATCAGAGATCCATCGACCATCACCCGCAACTTCAGCACTTGGTGGTTATGACTCTGTTATTAGCACTGAGTCAGCGGCCCTGGAAGTCTCCTCAAGTGCTATCAAGTTGATGATCCGCAGTTCCATGTGTGCGATTCCTCACGAAGTCTTTCCTGGATTTTTCGTGGCCGGAATTATACTCTACCAACAAGCCCAAGATGTGCAAAGGGCTCATCTGGCAAGGATGGTCCGAGCCAGTTTTGACAACTGCCAGATGCTGTTGAATCAAGCACAGAATACCTGGGATCCGGGAGTTTGGGCGATGAAAGTTTTCGAATTCCTTTTCTACGCTGTGGACAGGACTGATGCTGCCGATGCTCAAAAACCGCCAAATGATAGTTATGAACAGGGGACGCATATCCCCTCTGCGGCGTCTCATACCCAGCAGTATTCATTTCCGTCCAATCAATCGTGGTCGGATGTTCCCTCCTCTAGCATGGAATTTGGACGGCATTCGAGCATGTACATGGCTGATTACATGCTTCTACCAAACTTTTTCACAGTGCCATTCGGCAGCTAGGACGGACAAGCTTGTAATCAATTTTGTAAACTGCGTGATGACATCACTAGTGTAATTGAATGGCACAATTGGCGTCAATTTGAATTAATACTGCAACCCTGCTAAACAAAAGGCACGAACAATGCAACCTTAATGATCAGATATAACCTTCGACATGTGAAGGAATGCAAGAAGGCGTCATTGTGTGATCTTATCATGGAACAAAAGCTACAGGGATAGTGTGGGTTGTCATAGGCCCGTTTGACTTCTTCGAGCCCCAGTTAAGTCAGTATACTTGGCCTTATTCTAACTTTTACGCTTGAGTTAGATAAACTACACAGTGCCTCCAATTCTTAACTGCGTTGAGGGGATAGCACTGAGAGAGGGCTCTTCTCGGAAGCACAGCGGTAATGCTTGGCGAACCTCCTTGCCTATCAGGGCCGCATAAATGCTGCCGTCCCATGTTGTTTCGGGTGTATCCATCCGTACCCGCGGCTATATGGATCCCTGCGCCTCGTAATTCCTATGACGCTCGAAGTACAATGAAATACGGTGGGTATTGCTCGGGTCTTGGTTAGCACCATTACTGGATAGTTTACATTTATTAGAGTACAAAAGGAGTGTCGATACTGAATCAAGGCGGTTCTGCGGTGGAAAGAGGGCACTGCGCTGGGGTCCTGATAGCGCGACTGTGCTTCAAGTCGTGGAACGCTTGGGGATACTGTTCGACTGAATAGTAAGTAATGGGTTTCTGTGCCGGAAACCTGCCTTGCTTGTGTTGCTCAATCAAGTAGGGACTTATCTGAACAGCCACCGAATGCGGGTGAATCTTGTCAGTAGTCCGTAGATACGAAAAGTGAAACTATGGGCCAAGATCCGAGATCGACGTACCTCCTGGGCCAGAATTGCCCCTCGGCGAGAACCCACCTATTCTCGTCCAAGAGTCACATGCGCGAAGACCTCTGCTCCTGCTCTCTTGCCTGGAGCCGGAGCACCTACGCTAGCAAAAAACAACAACTTGCACAGGAATCTAATTTTCAAAAACACACCGCAACAGAAGGCCCTAGATACCTCATCTTTTCATAAGTTTCGCATAACTTTCTTCACTATCATTTAATACTAATATTATTAGTATGCATTAATAATAGCAATAAGGACATCTAACTAGCCCAATTCAATTACTCTTATATAAAAAATCAGAACACTCCTAATAAATGTCATAAGATCTACTTGTCAGGGTAGGAAACCTGTCAATTAGGTAAGGAATCAACCACGAAACACTATGGATTCACATAAGACAAAGGTAGCCTATACCCACAGAGTAGATTAATCCTTGAAGGATCAGTAGTCCATCAGTAATGATCGCTATCTTACACCCATCATAAAGGGCTGGGACAGCTATCGATGACATCACGACTCGAATAACCGGTGCTATACATCATCCTGATGGCTCTAACCACCATAGACCAGCTATTCTATCGCATAACACGCGTTAAAACCCTAATATAATATATATATAATATATCATGAACTAAACAAGGACTCTCAGATAGATCTAAATCTATTATAAATTATATTAAAAATATATAGATTTCCCTTGTTAACCTACTAAAAAATATTTTAAAATATTTCTATTCTGATAATATGATTACGAGGCCCTCTATATAAAAATTATAATATCATATTAAATATTTTTGAAAGTAAGAAAGAATATATTTAGTTGTTTTCTAAGCTTTCTGGGCTTATATCTTTCAGTTGTAGAAGGCAATAGATGATTTGGGATGAATGTCGAAGTAAGAAACATGGGGTTAGAGGAAAGATAAAGCGGTGCTCTCAGGTCGTGAGACCACTGCCATTCACAGAGCCTACCCTCCATTTCATTCGCCTATAGGGAATACTAGCCTATACTGTCGCAGCTTGCCCCGAGGTCCCCGACACATAAAAAGGAGGGTGGCTGGAAGGTAACGTATTGTTATATGCCCCGAAGGACCCGTACGACGCTCTTCCTGGCTTCAGGATTACTGCCAGACATGTCGCATATCGTGGGATCATCTGAGGCTGCGAAATTTTGTGGGCGTCGGGCAACGGTACGTATTGTTACAATAACTGCAATACGTACCCCCGATACCAAATTACTACACAAAACCCATAAGGAACTGCGTCCCTCAGTATAACCACTATCTAGTTGATAAGTTACCGCTCCATGGCTTGACATGGATTAACCGTTTGCTTATTGTCGAGCGCTCGCGGACGGATGACGTTATCTGACTAAATCGATGTGAGGAGCAGGATCATCCGACCCTGGATATCTCATAACCGGCAAGGTCACTGTGATAAAGTACGGACCGCCCCTTAACAAATGCTTCCTTGTTCCTTTCAAAAGAGCACCCGCATGACATCTTCTTTCTGAAACTCAAGCTACTTGTCTTCCGCTTACCCTTTTCGTCTTCGTCAACGCCATGAAAGCGGCGGTAATTCACGAGTCCGGCGGTCCTGAGGTTCTAAAGCTCGAGGACCTGCCCATTCCCATTGCCAAAACTGGCGAGGTCCTAATTCGCGTCAGAGCGTTTGGGCTTAATCGCTCGGAGCTCTTTACTCGGCAAGGTCACTCGCCTAGTGTGGAATTCCCACGGATTCTAGGCATCGAGGCTGTGGGCGAGGTAGTTGCAGCTCCCGGAACCGAATTGAAAGAAGGCACCGCGGTCGCAACGACCATGGGCGGCATGGGGCGACAATTCAACGGTAGTTACGCGGAGTTTACCTGTGTACCGGCTTCTCAAGTCAAGGTGCTGCCATCCAACTGCCTGACATGGGAGGCTCTCGGGGCGCTGCCTGAGATGCTACAGACCGCATGGGGCTCACTTTTCTCGGCGCTACGACTGAAACCAGATGAGAGGTTACTCATCCGCGGCGGTACGACATCAATTGGACTCATGGCTGCGGCTATCGCCAAAAAGCACGGGGCCTTTGTCGCTGTGACGACTCGCCAGCCAGGACGGGTCACAATGCTGCAGGAGAACGGTGCAGATCTTGTCTTCATTGATGATGGAGCGGTTGCTGGGCAGATCAAGCAGCAGGGTCTGCAGCTGTTCAATAAGGTCCTTGAGCTGGTAGGCACGGGAACGCTGACAGATTCGCTCCGCTGCGCCGCCTGGCAGGGTAGTGTTTGTATGACAGGCATGGTCGGCAACGAGTGGACTTTTGAAAAGTTTAGTCCTATGGACATTGTCCCGCACACCGTTAACCTGACCATTTACTCCGGCGGGGTGGAGGACTTCATGGCCACACCATACGAAGAGCTGATCCCGCAGGTTGAGGCAGGCATTTTGAAGGTGCGCCTTGGCAAGACATTTCATTTGCAAGAAATCGTTGAGGCACATCGCTGCCTAGAAGCTGGCAGTGCAGGAGGGAAGATTGTAATCTTAACAACCTAGGTTACCGCAATTTGGCCAAATGCAACCTAAGTTGTTTATTCTATGCGCTATGTGGGATGAAATAGAGAGGGATATGACATGTGGCATGACGAGATTTAAGATTCGCGAACGAGCTGAATAACTGTCAAGCTGTTCGATGCTTTTGCAACAAATCCGTATATATGAATCAACCTCTAGACGTACATACTAGGGGAAGTATGTAAAAGCCTAAATTGGAGTGGTGATGTTCGATTCTAGATAGGACTGCACTTCGCCCGTCTATAAAAATAAATTCACAAGCCATGTACGACCGACGAACTGTGGCAGAGTGGTCTATCTCTACTAGACGTGCGAAGGAGAAAGGATAGCCTGCTCGTTCCTACCTTGAAGCGCCTGGAAACATACGACACGCGAAGTGTACGTGCTTTCCTCGTAGAAAGTACCTCCCTAATGCGCAATTAAAGATTATGAAGCCGCACTCACGACCTACAACGAGATATATCAAGAAGTAGACAGTTATCTAGTTGTCTATACTAATGGCAGTGGCATTAGGGCGATGTAGGTGCCACGGCCTTCTATCAGTGCGAAAACCAGACTCAACCAAACTATCCAAGAGGAGAGATAATCCAAACAGATTCTGCTCTGTATCGTTTGATACACGACTGGTTGATATAATTCTGTTGATTGGGGGTTGCTTACTGGAGACGGCTGAGGCGAAACCGTTCTAATACAAACCATACAAAACCGAAGCAGCTCGGGAATCCCGAGTGCCGCACTTAGCCGTCTCTCGGATCAGTAGCCCCACCCTCTCCAGCAAGAACCCGATGGGGCGTGTCAACTCACCAGAAGGCTATTGGTGAACCACCAAGAAGGAGAACTTTGCATCGGCAGGTGCAAACATACCAAGGCGAACAATCTATGCAAACTGAGCAAAATGGACAATCTAAATCGCCTTATGTTTGCGGGTGTAGTGATTAGAGTGGCAAACGGCCAGGTCAGGTCAGGTTAATTGAAAATTTTATACCTGGCGGTTAATAGATTTTTATACCGGATAACAATCTGGTGTTTGCCCGGCCGCTGCTTCTATCGGCGCTTTCTGCCTGGCGAGTCCGCCTGACTAGTAGTTAACTAGCAGGGATCTGTAACAACTAGTTTAATGGCTAAATATAAGATTATAATACCTCAAAATCTTGTATTCAGGCGAATATATAGATAGAAGTAATTATATGTTGGAGCGGCTCTACTAGCCAGAAGCAAGAGGCAGAGTAAAGTATGTTGTTGTCTTCTATCTAGGCGCTGCGCAGCGAGGTGCGTTGAAGGGGTAGTTGGTATGTAGGCTAGCTAATCTCATCACGTGACCAAGACTACTAGTATCACTGCCTCAACATTATATAATCTGAGATTATTTCTTTATCTTCCTTCTGGCTTCATATGTCTTTCTTCTAGCATATATCTCAAGCCATCTAGTCGGCCCTCTAGCTGAGAGGCTCGAGCGGTAACAATCTTAGATGCAAAGATTGATTGATCAAAGAAAGAACGGATGTCATGGCGCCGTTTCTCCGTGCCCTCATGTTACAGGGCAATCCGAGATACTTATCACCACGTAGGAAAAGTCTCATAACATCTCCTTGTGCCTATTCATAGTGATTCTTCTGTTCCAGTTCTCGGCAATTGACCAAACACTTGTTTCTATACCGTTCCCTTCCCGCGACTCTCGAACGGGAGCAAGAGACTCGTAATGACCAAACCTCCATACAGTCCAGCACATATGAAAAGGGGTGCGACCGTGTCCACATTGGCGTAGCTGCCAACTAGCACGCCTACTATACCCCCCACCCGATTGAGTACCACACAAACAGCATATCCAGTCGCGCGGTGGGCGGCGGGGAGGATTTCCGGAGTATACGCATAGATAGTGCTGTAGTAGATATTGGTAGCAGCGCTGATGGCCGCCGACAACCCCAAGTTCTGTGCTGGCGTTTTGATCTGGGTATATCCCAGCTGAAGCACAGTGGTGATAGCAGCACCGATGGCCAACGTTCCTCGACGGCCAAACCAGCGCGTTTGAACTAGGAACCCTGCGATTGCGGGGCCAAACAAACCCGCGACTTGGATAATTGCATAGTTTCTCCACGTCATGTAGTTAGAGTCGTCTCCAGCCTTGGCTCCCTGTGTTTTGAGATAGAACGGTAGGAAAAGGCTGTAAAGCGGCGAGACTGTGCCGATGAGTAGCCAGTTCAAACTAATGACCGCAGTGGAATATCCGAGCCGACGACTGCTGAAGAGGCCTGAGAAATGACTAACTAGTCTGACTTTTGACCAGGCTGACTTCTCGGAGTTAATAACTCGTCCCTGTGATTGAAGCTGCGCAACAGTAAGATTAAAGGGCCGATTGTACTTTTCGGACAAGTTCACCAGGATCTGATACGCCTCATCGTCGCGGTTCTGGCTGACCAGCCATTTTGGCGTCTGCACCATTCGAAGGAATAAGACCCGAACAATGCTCATAACTATGACCAGACCACCGCAAGTAAAATGGAGGTACCGCCATCCCATGTTTTGAGAGCGGTGGCAAGTCTCCATCGTGGCATCTGGGTCACAGCTGAAATTACTCATGAACGCCCATGCAAACAAACCGGCGATCGTGTATCCCACGGCCCACCATAATGCCAGTGCTGTTACTAGCCAGGAGTGGGTTGTCGGAAGAAATTCCAGAAAGTTGGTGGCGTCGAGGATGTAGTTTCCGCCAGCTCCTGCAGAGTAAATAGCGACCCTACTTTCCGTTGGCACTTCGCATCGTACGGTGGTGAGACAAAGAAGAACTCACATGGCAGAAAACGAAACATAACTGGGCATCGCACCAGCAATCAGAACAAAGATAGCACTGGCAAACAAACTGCTATTGAATGCAAGTTTACGGCCGATCACATCCGCAGTGAAACCCCAGGCAGCAGCACCTACGAGCAATCCTATCTGGGAAGCTAGCGAGACGCCTTGTAATTTCGCATCCGCGCTGCGATATTCCTGATTCACAGCTACTTGCGAAATATTCTGACACACTACCAGGAGCTGATTCATCAAATCAGAGGAGCTCGTCGCAGTAGTTAACAGGGGTGCTTACCGAATCCGCGGCATATCCAAATCCGTTCATAAAAAACAATTTCCACTGAAACGGAGTCATACCGATTTCATCAATGGCAGCGTTGACCAGAGCCATTTTTCTTGCCAGAACAAGATCAATCAAGGAATAAACAATTACATCTTCTCTCAGGTTGGTCGGGTTATCCAAATCATGTTGCATTTGCCTATCGCTGCTTGTGGCAGCAGTATCGACCGCTGGATATTTGTCCGAGTCCGCCATTGTAAAATAAAATGTTAGCCCTGTTCGCTATTTCTTATTCGGGGCCCTACTATATTAAGTTCTCAAACCGAGAAATTGCGCCATACCTATCGCAATCTGGTTCATCGAGTTGCTCAGTATCTGGCGCAGAACTAGGCCATAAAAAGACCAACACAAATCTTATTCGCCGCTTAGAGCAATGAGATATCGTACCTAACACTAACACAAAGAGTGATTACTCTAAACGAGGCCAATGTGATTAGATAAAACATTGTATTTTCGAAAAGGAAGATGCGCTTCTCGTGGACTGAAGGCCAACGCCTTTTATTATAAGTGGTGCGATCGTTGATTTGACTTGTGTGCGATTGGAAGATGGATACGACGCTTTCTCTAAAGTATTGAATTTGCTGAGCGGACGCTTTGATCGGCCTATGATAAAGTGCTTAGTGGAGTCGGTGGAGAGGCTTAGTTAATGGTGCAAAGACCGGAAGATAGGGAGCTGTTGCAAATGGCCTACCTGTTGCTAGAACTGACCTACTCAAATAACATTTGAGACCTGCTCAACACATCCGCCCAAGAACAGTAGTTTGAATATCTACCAGCTAGTTTAGAATTTCGGTATGAGCAGGAGCTGCCTTCTCGGCGGTAAATGATGCCAAAGCAGGCTGCGCCGGCCCATCCGCAGACTCAATCAATGTACCCATAAAAGGTTTGACACTAGTAAGCTATCTCTAAGTCAATTTAGTAAGATAAATTGTCTAATAAAAATTTTAATAACCAGTAAAGTTAAGAAGCTTTATTAATCTATCTACTAAATCTCATAATATTTATATATAAGTTATAATAAGTCTTTCTTGTAGCAGTTAGAAATAAAATGATAAATAATCTATAATCGACTTGTAGAAATAATTGCTAAATTCTGACCAGATCCCTTACTAGCAGGGACCGAAGATCCGCTACAACCTAGCAACCTGAAAATCTGGGAACCGTCTATTACCATAAGGCCTAAAGGTCAGTAACCCTGCAATAATCAAGTTCAAATGACATTGATCGAATGTACACCCCAGTTCGGTTGTAAGTGCGAGTAGTGATGGTAATATAGACAATATAAATGAACAATGCAATCTAACTACGTACTTAGGTACAGTATAATCCCAGTTCTGCGAGCCCGGTATCAGCGAAGATGAGGGCCGCTACCGTTTTTACAGGAGACAGAAAGATATCAACAAACAGATAAACTGTTATAATCTAGCAGATTATTAATATAAGACTTCTAATTCTCTAATTATCTTACTATAATCTTAATAATAGATCTTTATATACAGTATTCTTTTATGAAATCCGCACGAGGATTTACCGAGAGAAGAAGTAGATTCTGAGTAATCAGATTATCTTTGATATAATTTCTCAGATAAATAGAACTGCTACTAGTTTCTAGACTTTCTAATATATAAAACAGTCTATTTTATAAACTCCTGATTTATAATAACTATTGAAATCTTCTATACCCTAACTTATAAAGAAAGTTGCGGCTTTCTTATAAAAATATATTCTTTATTCAATAATTATTTATTACTTTGGTATATATCTCGAGAATAAATAACGCCTTACTTTATAAATAATAACAGCGTGAGCTGAAGTGATAGTATAGTAAATATTTTAATTATAGAAAAAATAATAACTGCTAACTAGTATAATCTTTTTATTCAAGGCTCAGATTATACTGTTAATATAGAATTTCTTATTATTAAAATAAAGTCTGCTGGAGTAGTTTTAGCTTATTTTCTTAGTTTTCATAATATATATCTGTATCTATACAGCTGTTATTATTGGAAATTAAAATTATAAAAGACTGAAAAATATTATACTTAATAATATTTCAGTAATAGTAAATATCTCAGATATATATATTATAAATATAGCTACACTAGATTAATAACCTGTCATGATAATAAATACTAATGGGGTATTGGTATATTAGATTAATCTATTTAGAATATTTATAGAATATTAGTTTATATAATAAACTGGTAAAACTGGAATCTAAGAATATAAGTTATATGTAATATACTTATTAATATTATAATATAACAGGCGAGGGATACGCATGTATCTATTCCTGGAAAAATAATTTTATAATAAAAATAAAATTAGCTGGTTCTTGTTTTATTAAAAGTGATAATTAATATATAATATAAAGAAATTATAAATTAGCAAATCCATGTAAATTTTTTAATCTGTTATAGATAATTTTAGAACAGTTTCTGATTCAGCATGTAATTTCAGAAGACTTTAAATATTATTTTAATATTATATTTAAATTCTTATTTACTGACTTGAAGACTGGCCTGATTATTACCAAGATTTATAATAATATATTAAATTATAAATATAAAATCTGTATACAATATCTTTTTAGAGCTGACAGTGCAAGGAATAAAATAGTAAAATAATTTAATTTATTTTTAATAATTTAATCTAATTAAATTATTATAATTAATATACTGGTTAAAATTAATCTCTTCTATTTAATAAAAAACCGAACAGGCAATCTTTAGATAATATAACCAGATCAGAAATATTTAAACTTTAGCTGAATTAAAATTATTTACTTAATAAAGCTATAAAATAAATAAATATTTATTTTATTTTTAAATTAGAATTATAACTGTTCTTAAAAAAAGCCGTCTAAAGAAGAATATTAACAGAAAATATAAAAATTTATTAATAATAAAATATCTATAAAAATTCTAGATATTTCTATAATATATATTAATAAGATTATTACAGAGTAATTTTTAGAAAATAATATATAAATATTATCTCAGCTAATCTGATAAGAATATTATATTTAATAATTATTTTTATTTCTAGCTTTTATCTTGGTAATACTATGCACTGTTACTTTTTATTAAATAATCTAAATTTAAATATCTGTATTTAAGATACCTTTAATCTTGCCTAAAAAATTATATATATTTATAAGAAACTTCTATTATTATTATTTTTATCTATTTATTCTACCGAGCGACAGCCCGCGGGTTATTTAATTATTATTAAAATAAAATAAATATATTAAGATTATTTTCTATTACTGAAGACTCTAAGCATACTATTTACTAATTTATCCATGCAAAAATAAATATTAAAGAAATTAAAAAGTATAATACTAAAAGAATTAAACTGCCACTGTGCCCTGTATACAGTAATCAAGTATATTATTCATAAATTCTATAATATTAAAATTAAAATAAATTAATATTATAATAATTACAGGATCTATACAGCTGACAAATACAGTCTTTATATACTTTCCGGATAGGCGGCTGAAGATAATATTTTATATTATAATTTAAATATTTATTCTAGATCTTAATTATCTTATATCTGGCTTAATAAGATAACTCTGACAGAGCTTATATTAATAATAAATATTATTAGCCATAGTGCTTTTATATTTTTTAGTAGAATCAGAGGTGAAAGATAAAAGAAAACCACAGAAATTATTATTAAAAGATTTAAAATTCTGATATAAGTATATATTATTAGATTTAAATAGAATTAAAAGAATATTTACTTTGAATAGAAAAACTTATAAAATATAAAAAAATTAGAAACTGTATTAATACAGCTTAATAAATTTATTATATAAAAAGTATTAGAGATACTTTAAAATACTGGAATATATAAATTAAAACTTCTTAAAGTTATAAGATTTATTCTAGAATATATTAATATATAATAATTATATTAACCTGTTTCTGCCGGTTTTGGTTTACTTCAGTTAGAATAATGAAGAAGATAAAACTATGTTATATTAACTAAATTTTCAGTTTTTTTAAGAAATTTATAATAGATAAAGAATTTACTAATAAATTTATAATTTAATAAATAATAATATCAGCTTTGAGATAAGAATAATTTATCTATATTAAATTCTTAGACTATGTTTCTAGAATATATATAAATATAATATAATAAAATTAACTTTTTTTTATCTGTAAATCCCGCGTTCTCCATATATTTATAATATTAATTAGATACTAATTTCCAGAAATCTTATATCTATTCTTAGTACTAGATAGGGGAGCAATTTGATTAAAATTATTATATTAAATAAAAAAGTATATATAAATTTCAGAAAACTGTGACTTGACTATATCACTGTTAATTAAGCAGAAATGTTACCAGATTATATTTAAATAAAACAGGCTAAATCTAAAAACTTAATATATTTTTTTTAATTCTCTGTAAATATCATAGAATAGCAGATTATTTAGATCTTTGATACTGATAATCCTAAGATTTGAGAGCTTAATAAAATTACAGAAGTTAATATATAATAAATATTAGTATTATTTAATTACTATATTTCTAGTAAGAGTTAAAATACTTTCTTAAAGAAAAGTTCTTTATATTTTATATAGTTGCTATTTATTATTACTTTATTATATTTCTAATTTGTCAGGAGTGAAGCCTTGTTGGCTCATGTTTTAATATCCGAAATTTCTCTTGTATATATGAAATTCATATATAAAACAGTTATCGGCTGTATTATGTAGTACTGTAAATGATATCACTTCCGGTAGGGTGATAGTAAAGTCGTCGGGCTTATGCTGAACCCTTACGCATGTAGTCGAATGAATAATAGCAGATCGGTTTTCATTGAAGACTTGAGGGTTCTCTATAGTTTCGCTGAACAGGTGTATATTTCTCTTCTAATTACTTAATCTGTGTCTTTTATTTTCCTTTAATTTCAGTCTTTACTAAGGTGGTAAAAAGGCTCGGTTCCTATGCCACTTACCAACTTGCTGCAATGTTGAGCAGCCAAGCTACTTTTGGAGGGAGACTTTTGCGGACGGAGTTTGTCTTCGGGTCCGCAATTTGTAGCCCAGAGGTTGCAGAGTTCTTCCCCCCCTGCAGCTAGTGAAACGGGGTGTCTTTTTCGCCAACCGTCGGACCGGGGTCTACAGATCAACAAAAGGTAGTTACGGGGCTCCCAAGTGGATATTCGAGCGGAT